AAAAAAAAAAAAAAAAAAAAAAAAAAAAAAACCAAAAACACTCCAATCCATATTTCCCCCCCCCCCCCCTTCAAGCTTGCCCCCTCCACCATCCCCTATCCCAACCCCAACTCTCACCCCAACTCTCACCCAGAAAGGCTTATTTCTCGCCTTCCTCACTCGCCTTCCTCACTCACCACCATACCGCACACACATAGCACATAGCACATAGCACAACCAACCAACCAACCAAGCACTCAAGTAAAAACCATCCATCCCCCCATATACCCATATACCCATCCCCTCATATACCCATCCCCTCATATACCCATATACCCAAGTACTACTGTACTCTACCCCCACAGAGTTGAATACAGTAAATACAGTAAATACAGTAAATACAGTAAATACAGTAAATACAGTAAATACAGTAAATACAGTAAATACAGTAAATACAGTAAATACAGTAAATACAGTAAATACAGTAAATACAGTAAATACAGTAAATACAGTAAATACCGTATTGCTTCATTCGATTCATCTCACTTCATCTCACTTCATCTCACTTCATCTCACTTCATCTCACTTCCGCACGTACGTACGTAGTACGTAGTACCGGTACCGGTAGTATACCTACCTACCTACCTACCTACCTACCTACAGTACCTACAGTACAGGCTTCACTAGCGTCGAGGCTCATCCCCCCTTTTTCCTTTACCCTTTACCCTTTTTCCTTTTTCCTTTACCCTTTTTCATTTTCCTTTCATTTTCCTTTTATTTTCCTTTACCCTTTTCCCTTCCCCTTTTCCTTCCCCTTCCCCTTTTCCTTACCCAGTTTCGCCTAGTCACCCATATACTACTACTACCTGCACACCTGCACACCGGCACACCCGCACCCCGGATCGGATCAGCAGCCAGAGCCCATCAGCCCATCAGCCCATTAGCCCACCCCGATGGGAAAATATTGAACCCAATTCTGACTCCCTAATTATCCCACGATTCGTAAGCAGTAGGCCGAGCAGGGAGAGAAGACAAATGCGTTCATTCATCAAGGCAGATTGGATGGGCCCCCAGTCTGACCGGTGCGGCAAGGTCACCTGCGCTACCAATACATCGGGAAGCCATGACAGTCTCACCCCCTTCCCCCCCCCTCGTTTCCCACCGGTTTCTTAAAGGCCAACCGGCGGATCATAGCCACCGTGTCGCTCCTCGTCACCCTCGGCCCCAGAATCGCTCTTCAGATCACTCGCCGGTTCAACAAAGACGCCCTGATCCCCAATAACAAAATCCTCTCCAATCCCCACTTGTTCTTGCCGTCTCCGCTCCCTCACCGCCTCCCAAGCTCTGACTTTGTCTCGCCTCTGCTTCGCCGCTCGTCTCGCTACGCCCGACAGCGTGTTGACCCCGAGCCTGTCAAAGATGCTGAGAGCGGCCAGGAACTTTCGAACACTGGATCCTGTCTGTTCTTCAATCCATCTGTCAATATCCTCGTCGCAAGCGGCAGCTGTGACTACGTGTAAGCCCTTGAAGACATCCTTATTTTTTAACTCGCCAGGTTTGGGAGTGTAACTATCGACCGAGGACGCCGTAGCCGAGCTTGTCAGGGAAGCTACCTCATCTGCAGGGACGTTGCGCCTCCACGTCGGTTCCGCCCTGAAACCGAGTCTTGGCAGGGAACGTCGTTTCACCGGGTCGGCGACAGCTTCTTCTACACGACGGGCATCAGCAATTGTTACAATGCCGTTGTCAGGGAGGAGGGCGAACATGTCGTCAGGGGTTTTCGGGACAGTCAAGAGAATGCAAAACGAGCTCTGTGAAGACTTACGTTTGGCAAGTTCCTCTATTGCCTTTTCGACCGTACTTTGCACTTGAGCTCTTTCCGGAGAAGCATAACTTCGGGGAGACTCGGGTAGTACATTATCCACGGTTGGAGGACTTGGAACTTCCTCCGGGCCTGTCCAAGCTGTGGCAGGAAGAATTGGCCGAGTTGATCTGCTGGACGCATCCATGTAATATACTTCGACGGGTGGTACTTCCACCGGGGAAACGGAAGTGGCTGATATAGCAGCAGAAACCTGTCTCGACGGGAAACACTGCTGACACTGGATAGATCCTCTCGCAGTGCAAGCATGCATCCGACTCGTCACAGGGTGCGAGGCTTCTGGTTGTGGTCTCGGCTCGGGAAATAGCTGAGGTTCTGGCTGCACCTTTGACCGATCCAAGGGTCCAGCACATTGAGCACATACTGGTGGCGGCGCACACCTGGTGCATAGTGGCGGAGACGGTGGATTTCGTCCGGCCTGATAACACTCAAGTTTGGCAGGATGAGTACTGGGTTCCACTGGATCCATCAGAACCTGAGTCCACTTTCGCCCCCTCTCCTCAATACTTTTTGGGTGACTTCTGTATACTCGAGGTGCCTGATAAGATCCGTCTGGTTGAGTGGGCGCCGTTAGGAATGAAAAATTGCGGGTGCGCTCTCCGGGCTTTGCATCAGGTTGGAATGAAGGGTTTTTGATGTGGTCGGTTATGGGCTTCATCTCTTGAACACCAGAGCCTGGCTCCGGCTCAGAATCAGGGCCTATGGTTTGCGTTCCCTCTCCCACCCTTTTCCACATCAATCTCGATGGCCGAGATGATCTCTGTGGTGGAGCTGAGACAAGGGGCTCCTCGGACTGATGGACACAATCAGCATTGGATTGGTTTGCCTTCAGTGAAAAATTATTGCTAGGATCGCTAAGGAGCGGAGACCGTTCGAGACTGTACTGGTCTGCATGGCGAGAGACTGCTGTAGTAAATTCTGTCTGCGTTCCCATATCCTCATAAGCCGGTTGGGCACGATCTACCCGTCTGCTCTTTTCAGTAGGTCGAGGAGGAACAGTAGGCTGGTCTGTAAATTGCCAGATCAGTAAGAGAACTACGGGAAACTATTTTCGGAACCACACAGTATAGCTTTCACGACATAACACATTTGCCATGCAGAGCAATAAGCCGAGAAGTCGAAAGAAAAGAAAAAAATAAAGCACTTACCTTTCCCTGTAAGGACATCTTCCTTCCTCTTATCCAGAGACTCGACGATATCAAAATTTTCGACCCAGCCAGTAAGAGGAGTAGAGAATTTCCGTTCCTCTACCTTCGTAGAAACAACACTCCTTTTCTGAGTGGGAGATCTCTCAGGTGAAGACTCAGGTCGGCTGAGCCATGGGAGAGACTTCTTCGTCGTCGGCTGAGGTGGTGATGGAGGAGGCCTTACCGGCGCTTGCCTCCGTGAAGCGTAGAGCTCGTGCGGAGGAGTAAACCCAATGATTGTATGATCGGATGAAGTTTCGGATGGCGATTTTGCTTTAACTTTCGGTCGACCATAACTTCTTTCGTGAGGCGGAGTCCAGCCGAGGACAGTACTGCCCGTAGACTGAGACGCGTAGGATGCATGTTTATTCCTCGAAGCACTTTGCGTATTCGCTTGGGTTACTTTGGCCTTGTAGCTATTCTTCGCAGGCGATGATCTCTTTTGTTCGACCTTCTCATCTTTCGAGGGTGTTGGTGGAGGCGTCAAGCCCTTTGGCAACTTCTATATAGCGAGCGTGTCAGTATCACAATCGACATGTTAGGGAGTACCGGGACATCTCTTGAGATGATCCTGGGAATACAGGATTGGAGTAAATGGGTTTCCCCGCTACATACGGCCATTCCTTTCTGCTCAGCCGATGTGACAGAGAGCCCAGCTGCTCGGAACTCTGATATGTAAGGCTTGAGCTCTTGAATAGTATGTGCCGAGATGCTTGTCGATGAAGGTGACGACACAAGAGATTCCCTAGAAGGTAACTTTGCCGCATGCAAATACAATTCAATTCCCTTGGTAAACCTGGCAAGCGCTCTTTTCTGGCTGGGACTGCGAGAGGCGCTCTCTGATACCAGAGTCTGGACAATAGACTTTAGGGAAGCAGAAGATCGTCCATGAGCTTTGGAATTTCGACTGTAATCCTGGACGGCTTCCCAGAACTCTGGAGAGCCAACACCCTTGGTTTTTCGCCCTGACGATACTCGTGAGGTCGGTTTTCGGAGAGTATTTTGTTTGAACTGAGGCCGGGCAGACGATATACGCCTCTCTGGATTGGATAGACTACCTTGACGTCAGTCGTTATCATGAATGGGGATGTTCCGAAACAGAACAAAATGTGTCCCTAGAAGATCCTGGGTTGTCAAGAGTTTATCAGTACGTACAATTGCGTAGAAATGCGATTACTAGCTTTCCGAAGGGGTATCGAGTGTTGGGCAGAGTATAATCGATCAGGATTGAACGAGTACTTCTGCGGATACGGTGCTGTCCAGTATGCGGGCGCCTTGGAAAGACTCCTCAACGAATAGGCTTCGGACTTCTTAGGTGGTCTCACCCGTCTCGCAGAAGTGCTTGCCGGACCGTCGGTTGAGTGAAAACCAGAGTCTTCAGGGGATTCTGGTCGGAATACAGTCCGCCGCGCTAAGGCACGATATCCGGACCCAAAGGTGGCCCCAGTAGTGGCTTCGCTTGCAGGTTCTGCCCCTGATATAGCCCGCCTAAAAACTTCTATACTGTGCCTTGCCCGAACAGAAGCACGTCCTTGAGAGCGCACGACGTAGGAAGCAGCTCTCGAGGCTGGTGCTCGTCGACGACGGAATTGTATTCCAAAAGGCCAATTCCTGTTCTCCTTATCGTTCGGGATCCTGAGGATTTTGGAGTTCTGCTCAGAACTGGTTGAGCTTCGAGTATGGATCGAGTCAGGACGGGTCGAGACGACGCGAATTCGTGGCAGATGGTGATAAGGATAGCCCTTCCAATGAATATCAAGATGATTGAGCATCGTAGATTACGAAAAGAGCCGGTAAGGATTCATCTTAGGTAGAGAAACGAGGAGAATTGGCTTGGTGGAACGAGGGGTCGAGGTCTCACCCTGAGGAAGTTGCTCCTTCCATAGCTCTTGCCTCCGAGTGTATCTTGAGCGTAGGTAGACCTTTTCTTAAACTCTTAGGACTTGAAATTTCGAGTGTCCCAGGGCTATAGAAATTTTTGAAAATTGGCCTTGAAAATGGTATGGATAGCGGGTGCGGACCTCCAGAATAAGACCCTCAACAAGCCAGGTCTTTGAGATGTAACCATAGTCTCATGGAAACATTAACTGTGCCAGCGGAGTTTATCAATCATCGTATATCTTTGATCCTAGGAGAAGAGTACATCTCGAGCTGTCTTTGCCCCTTGCGCATCAGATACTCAATAGCACTGAAATCCTTCTTGTCGAGGCCTATGGTCTTGTTGAACTCATCCCTAGCACAATTAGCTATTGATATAACTCAGCCAAAGGAAAAATCAACCATGCCATCAGAAGGCTACTAACCTCGCATACTTCTCAAAGTGTATCCGCGCCTTCAACCGTCAGTGAAATGATTGATTTCTTAATCGAAGTCCACTCACCTCACCCTTCGTCCTGCACACCCGCAGACATTGCCGATAAAGCGACAGCACATCTCTCTGTAATCCGGATAATCTCATGCTGAATCTGGACGTCGTAATTGCTCTTGGAGATCCTGATGTTCGCAAATTGAGAGGGTCAATAAGTACGAAGTGAACTTTGCATGACGGCTCCATTCCGAAAAAGCTGCAGGGATCAAAAGCTCCGGCCGAATGTGGGGGTGGGGGAGGTCCAGTGACAGATATTTGGACGTGATAGAAAAACCAATACATACTTCGTAAAAGGACAATAATTCCAGGAGCAAAATCTGTGAACTTGGACACTCTGCCTCTCTGAATATCTACAGAAATCAATCGGCAAAATGTCATCATTTTCCGTAAGTCAAACCCCAGGCCCCCTCTTCTCTGCAACCAAAACTCACAAGTCACAATGCTCCAGAGACTCGTCCGTTTCCTTGCAAAGGACGGCAGGACATACTACGGCGATGCTATCCTCCCCAAGGGAGTCACAGATATAGCGGAGGCAACACAAGCCAGAGTTATCCGTGGTCCTATCTTCGGAAAACACGATGTCACGGATCAAGTTGCTGATATTCGACTCTTGCTTGCCCCGCTAGCGCTGGAAGATGTCAAGACTGTGCGATGTTTGGGTCTCAACTATGAGCAACATGCTAAGGAGGTGTGTCTCCGTACTTGATTTCATGTCATACAAAGAAATAGATATGTATATATATTGACAACCCCTAGTCCAACATGCCCATTCCCAAATTCCCCATCCTCTTCGTAAGTCCCTTGTCCTTCGCTTATCAAGACTAATGTAATATATATATATATATATATATATATATACATCTCACACACTATCTCACAGTACAAACCCATAACCTCACTCGCCGGGCCCACAGACCCCATCCCCATTCATCCTCTCGCACAGCAAGGCTCCGGTCTAGACTACGAGTGTGAACTTGTCGCCATCATAGGCAAGCCCTGCTCTGACGTCCCCGAGTCCTCAGCCCTCGACTACGTCCTGGGCTATTCGATCGGCAACGATGTGTCGCACCGCGACTGGCAGATCAAGCACGGTGGCGGGCAATGGTCTCTCGGCAAAGGCTTCGACGGGTGGGCGCCCTACGGCCCTGGTATTGTGTCCAAGAACCTGATCCCAGACCCCCAAAACCTCCGCATTTCTACCAAAGTCAATGGCCAGACAGTACAGGACAACAACACGCGCGACATGATCTTTGGCGTGGCGAAGACTATTGCTTTTCTGTCTCAGGGGACGACGTTATTGCCAGGTGATTTGATCTTTACCGGCACGCCGCAGGGAGTAGGCATGGGGATGAAGCCGCAGAAGTGGCTGAGGGATGGTGATGTGGTGGAGGTCGCGCTGGAGGGCGTGGGGACTTGTGTTAACAAAGTTGAGTTTACGAAGGAGAAGCCGAAGCTGTGAGACTCTTGTCCGGTAATCCTGCTGAGATCTGCACATGGAAAAAAATCGCGATAGCTTGACTTCCTCCAGGATTCATCACAACTTTGCCTCGCTTAGTCTTGGTTTTAGGCTATCGAAATAGTCTCCTCGTCCTTCCTTGTGAACACCTGCTCAGAATCCCCAGGTTTAATCCAGAACTTGAACTTTCCTACCTGCGCATGTCTGCTGCTATTCTCGGCTGTCAAACAGGTCAGAACAAGCCCATACCCTGACGAGTCATCTTCTCCGCCCTGAAGACACTACACCGGCCCGGTCAAGATCTGCGCCGCAATAGCTAACACCGGATCCGCGCTTAGCTCTTCCGAGCACTTCGACCACAATAGGCGTGGCTGGAAGTGACATGAGATTTCCCAGATCTGACGTATATTCTCTCCAACGGTCCTCCAATTTTACATGTATGCGTAAGCTACCTGGACGTAAGGCACCGCTGAGGGCGCGTCCATAAAGACCTCCAGCACAGTCGCAATGCTTCCTAGTCGAAGCTTGCAATCCTGCCGGCAGCACCCAGAGAAGGATACAATGGCATCGAACGCTGCCCGTGACCAGCTAGGTGCTCCGTTACCCGTACGTATCCGATATCGAGCATTCGATTGGAGATAACCCATTATGTAGAGTACAGGGCCGAGAAGAGCAGGCTGGACTTCCACAGGCCCGCCGCTCACTCAGCATGTATCTCTTTCTGTCCTCAAGAACCCAGCAACTGGGGAAATCATCGCTGCTGGAAGAACCTTCCCGCTCGGACTAGTCTTCAACTGGTGAGTACCATGTCCCCAGCACGTCGGTGACTTCGTCCATAGATCGATGGTGCGGCTGGATGATTGAAATATCTTCCCTGCTGCAGGAATTCGTTTCCCTGGACTCGGAACAATGGACTTTCTGTTTCCTCGAGTTGCAACTCGTCCGTGACATGATGCTCTGCCTGCGTGTTGAAGGACATAGTTCATGAGGCTGGCATTGAATCCAACTATTCTCCCAGGTGCTGTTACAGACACATAAACGAAGGTCTGTTCCTGATCTACCTCGCGAGCAAAGAGAGCAAAAGCGATAGCTTACATGCCTACCAACTCTAGTTTTGACATCGAATGCCCACTTCCACGAGCAGATGCTTTTCCCGTCCAGCCATTTCCGAGTCGATCACTCCAGATCTCGCTACGGTATGTCGCGAATTAGCAGTAACCTTTCAATGCTCCCATTACAAAAAGAAAAGTAGCAAGCTTTCCAGAGGGGGTCTGGAAAATCTTGTAACGATTAGCATTAAAGACTTTGCGAATGGAACAACCAATTTTGATATACTATCCGGAAATCACCAGACTTGGATACTTTTATTGTTGACTAACATCCTCGCTAAATCAGCCCAGAGCACAACCTTCCAGGCCCCCCTACCCTCCTGATCAGCAAGCAACCGAGGACATCCCAAAAAGAGGTTCTCGAATTTCAGCAGCATCACACCAACAGTCGTAAAAACAAGTAGTATATTCTCGCGCCCGAGCTCTCGGTGAAGTAAAGTAGTAAGTAAGCCATTGGTTCCTCAAATGCCGACTTGTGATACTCAGCCTCCTTGAAGCCACACACTCTTCCTCAACTCAACCCTTAACGCTGTAGAATAGCTTATAAGCCTCACCTTCATGCTCATCCGCCTCTCATAGTAACCACGAGATAACCCTTCAGTACCTACCGTACCAAACGTTACCCAGTACGGCACCCCATCAACGCTCACCCAACTGAGACACTCCTCCACCCCCTCCATACCACTCCCACTCTCAAATACGGCTTTGAGTTCTCACTTCCGTGTCCTCGCTTCCAAGCCGTGAGCTATACCAGCAGGATATAATCTCGCGCTCGACCCGACAAATTGTGAAGTAAGCATATCCGTACCAGGCACGTGTGGAAGCTATGTACAAGGTACGGAAGCTAAGAAGTTCTTTAGCCGCAGAGTTTCCCATATTGAAAAAATCTTTTGGCATGGACTCAGTCTACGATTTGGTGAAGCAACAGGCCCGCAAAATCTTTGCTCGTGAGTGATTCATTCGGCTTGGGTGGAAGCTACTATGCGGACGGCAGTAGGGTGACCCCCAAACAGAAGAAATCTCTAATCGACAGAACCTAGTTTCTTCTTCTACTACGTAGGACATAGTCTAGACCTATCCTGCAGAATGTACTCATTAGGAACCTCAACTCGCGTTAGCCTTCGCATTAAACGAGTCGGCACCGATAGTCCTCATCTTCTTTATTTTCTCCCTGAGTAACTTCTCTCGCAATTCATTTGCCTGCCTCCTAGGATCTTTCATCTGGGAGCCCACAGATACGTCAGCCGGGTTGGAAGCAAAAGGCACGCCGCTGACAAGGTAAGCACCGAGAGTTACGAGCTACTACCAACCTCGTCGGGCGGAGCATTCTTGCTTTCTTCTCGTCGTGATGAGTCCCTGTCGTTCTCTTCTTCAATATCAGCCTTTCTATCCCTTGCAGAAGCGGAAGAGGTATTTCGTCGCCTCTTTGATGGTTCATAACGTTCAACCGAAGAGTGGCGACGCTTTCGGTCTCTCACACTACGACTAGAACTTCTGGAGCGACTTCGACGACGGCGTTGCGGCGTTATACTCCGGCTGTTGCTCCTAGTTAGCCGACGCTCGTCACGTTCACGACCCCTTCCAGATCTGAGCTTATCATCATCAGTATCCCGGGCTGGCGTACTTTCAGCCCTCTCTCTACTGCGAACCGTGACAGTGCGAGGGCTGCGGCTTCGTGATCTGGAGATTGAAGGAGTTCTTGAGGGGGAACTAGCGATGCGTCGGGATCTTTGAGACTTTGGAGGCGGGGATCGGGAGACAGTTGAGGAAGATCTTCTACGTCTGGTGGGTCTTGGAGAACGAGAGCGGGAGGAATCAGAAGGAGTCGGCGATCTTCGACGTTTTCCACGATCTTGTCCTCTACCACCCTTTCCACGGTATGAATTTCGTCGATCTGGTGACCTCGATCGTCTACGAGGCGGCGAGCGGGAGCGAGATCGAGATCGAGATATGGAGCGTGCTCGTCGGCGTGGAGGTGTGCGAGAGCCTGACTTGGGTCTTGCAGGAGATGGCGATCGTGATACAGAGGAGGATGGTCGTCTACGATCATTTCTCCTCCCACTCCGACCACCTGGAACGTAGGAATCAACTCTCGGGGGCTCTCGGTACGCTGGACGTTCCCTAGAACCTCTCCGGCGAGGCGATCTTGACCGTTGGCCCCTTCGTTCAAAACCTCTGTCATCCCATCTTCCGCCACTGTCCCCGCGACCAAAATCCCTATCTCCTCTGCCTGATCCACGATCGAAGTCTCTATCGCTGCGACCTCCTCGCCATGTATCTCCTCGTCCTCCACGGCGTCCTCGATCCCCTCGATCCCCTCGATCCCCTCTATCCCCTCTATCGCTACGTTCGCCGCGCTCACGGTTGCGAATAGTATTGGTGTCCCGTTCACGGCGTTGCTCCTCTTCCCGACGGATGCGTGCTTCTTCCGCGGATTTTTCAGCTTCGATCTGTGACAATGTCAGCCAGAAATCTCCCAACCCGAGGTGACAAACATACCTTTTCCTGTATCAGCTCCAGCTTCTTCGCCTCGAGCAATTCCTTCGGGACGCCCTGCGGGCTCGTTTGCGCGCTCAAACAGAGCTTCCACAGTTCCTTGCAGAACGGGGCCGTATCTTTATCGAGAAATCCAGTGAGTTGTATCTGCATTTTCTTGATGTCGGGCTGTGAAACTTCTCAGCGTGGCACAGCCCAAGAACGGTATTACCAACGTACAAATCGAGCACCCTCAATGAGATTGAAGCATAGCTCAATCACGACATCGTCGTCATTGCCCAGAATCTCAGAAATCCTCCCTGCGATCCATCTTCAAATCGATTAGAATTCTCCACGAGAGAAGAGAGCTCGAATACGTACTTCTTCATCACCTCAGCATTGACTTTTTGCATGTCGACTTTCTGATTGAACTCGGGAGGAAACTTCGTCGTTCGCAACAGCTTCGCATCTACGCTGCTCGCCATGATGAGTGATTTGCGTAAAGATGTGGTGTTGTTGGGGCAGGAATCCTGGCGCTGCGTGAAGTTAAAGATATCTACCTACGGAGTAAATGTACTGTCACGAGGCTGAATGCGGCTAGTAGTGGCGCTAGTCGACAAGCGCCAATCTTCAACCTCCACTTCACACGCGGCTGAACGGTTAAGCGACTTTTTTCTTTTCCTGCTGTGGTGAACCCCCGATCTCGATGCACTATGGTGGTTCATTCTAGGAACCTCCTGTGATTCTTTACTATTTCACTGAGGGACATCTACCATTTTATCCACCCAAATTATCGACTATTCATGCTTGTTGTTCTTTAAAGGCCATGTGTGGGGACTGGCAAACACTGGAATTCCTATTTTGTCAAACTGGTGGACTAGGTCTGCACGGCACTATTCCCTATACAATTTTCTCACTCACTATCATGCAATATGATTAAACATTTCCTTATTAAAATATTGTATATCTACTATTATGTAAACTGATCATTTTCAGGAGTTTGGCAGCTGACGTTGATTCGTTCACAACAACCACCGAATCCAACATCTTGAGGTTTCGCTAAATGCCTTGCATATTTGCATAAGTACCTGGGTAGTCTAACATCATCCTCTATTGTTATTATGCAAACATACATTTATGTATTGTCCTGCTTGTTCGGCCTTGGGCATCTTCAAGAGATGTCGTGGAGAACTGGCCTGTAGCTTTCCTTTCACGTTGTCGAGTTGGAGCGCTAACGACCGACTCGATCACCCAATTACCCGAGACATTTGTCTATTCCCCAGACGAAGAAGAGAAAGAAGAGAAACCCTGGTAAACTTTCTATTTTTTTCATTCCTTTTCGCAACAAGTGACTTCCATCCCAGGGTGTGTATTTACGAGAAGGGAATAATAAGCAGGTTGGATCTGGTCTCAGATAGTCCTCGAATTGCGAATTGAGCCGCCAATTTAAGTGCGACTCTGCGACGGGCACATTTGGAAACTCCATTGAGATTTGAAATCCTTTCTCATCCAATAGATCATGCTAAAATATCATCTTTGAGGAATTCTTAGCATCTCATGGGAACTTTCTTCAGGCTTGGGGCTTGGACCTCTCTCCAAGCTTCAAGCTTTCCACTCTAGAAAGTACGAGCTTGAAGTTTAGGAATCTTCCGACTTTTGAGAAACCTGCAGATGCCTGCCATTGACTTCAAAGAGCCAATATTTCAAGTCATGTTTGATAAGGGGCGTGCGGCATCAAGCTATCTTGATTTGGCGATTCTTCAGTGGGCACATCTATGAGAGATATCGTTATGGGAGCATGCGGCGGACTATACAAGTAAAAGATACCTATATATATCGTCACTTGGATCAGATCGGCCCGGCTACTATTGCAAAGATGATAATGTCTCGAAGACACGAAGTTGGTGCAGTAATGTTTGTACCATTTTTCTTTCCCATTGAAATCTAAAGGGAATTTAATACAGCAGCTCCCTAGTGTTCGATCCGAATAGTATTGTCGACTTTACGGAAGGGGTTGAATATCGCAGGATTGAAACGTTAACAATGAAACCTGAACGTGTATTGGTAGGTATGTAAGAGGCTCCAATGAATCCTCGACTCTTTAATCGAAGAGGAAAGTTTCGATCCTCCACTTGCGAATTATGAAAAATTGACTCGTCGATCATTTTATATATTTCGACAGTTGTGATGAGCCTGCGAGATGATGGGCATCTTTCCAGTGTTCCGACTCACGGTTTGTCAATATCCAAAATACTTTCCGAGTCCACTTGAATATGGACCAAGAATGTCTCGACGAACTACAGACCAAGTGCTTTGACTCTGAGCTTGGGTGTTTCGACGACCCTGAGAGAGTTGGTGTCATATTGCAAATCCCAGAGGCATGGTTTCGAAATTCTTTGCGTTTGCGACGACTATCAGTATAGCCTCGACTTGTATGTCAGAGTTGTGGAAAGTCTCCCACGGCTTATGGGCACATCAAAATCCGCAACGAGAATTAGGATGGATCTCGATGCGGATCCGAAATTCTTGCGAGCTGGCACTTGTAAAAGTTCCCAGCTTCTCTGCAATGGCCAGTTGATTTAGCGTCGGGCTCGCGAGAGAGAACATCGCTCCTTCCTTGTATGATTTTGCCGCTGCCCACCGCCCCACAACCACGGGTCGGTAAGATCCCTCCCTTGTCTCTTCTCCTCCTCCTCAAACATTAACAACATGTATTCCTCCTAGTTATGCATTACACTCGTAACCTCGCTGGGCCACAACTCATTCCTATTGATATTTCCTCTCGTCCCAAGCCCAGTGTCCCTGTGTCAGCAGGCTTCGTCCACGAGCTCGTCGTCCAGTTGGAAACGAAGCAAGAGTCCCGTCGTACGTGCTCTCTCTCCGAAGGTGCTCCGTCGCCGAGATTCCGTGCCTATACAGGGCTCCAACCTCTCTCTAGAAGCAAATCGGCCAGAGCTCTCGCTGTAGGGAACCCTACACAGCTCCGCATTGACGTTGTCCGCGGACCAAAGGCCTGGTCAAAATCAGAGTCGGACTCACAGTCCCAGGAATTGGCACTGCTCCGTAGAGTCGAAAAGGAAAAGGCCATCCTTTCGGAGCTAAGTACGCAGACCGACAGACCGAAGTGAGCACATCTCGCGCGTTATCCCCAGCACTTGAGACCCTCCCAGTCCTGCTTGATTCGTTTTATGCGTTCAGCCAATCCCCACGAATCTGGAGGCTTACCAACAGCGCCGAGGACATGTCCCCGCTAGGCTCTCCCATGTTCTCAGCTTCTTCTGTTACTCTGGCAGCCGACTCGGCTGCAGACTCTCGCCAGAAGCGGCCTGTATGGTGGAACCTCCCAAACCATTCGCAAGGGTTTTCTCCGTCTTCTTCAATGTTCCCAGAACCTTCGGCTACTCTTGAAGACAAATTCATACCTGATATTGAAAGACCTATCAGCCCGTAAGTGTAATTGTCCCAAAATTTCTGGGCGCATGGCAATTGTTGACTCTTTGCCTAGGCGTAGTCAGAGTCCCCTTGCAATGGCCACTGCCCCGGCTACTCCCAGATTAAGAAGACCTGAGCTGTCGGAGATATCCACCGATGGTCATATTGACAATTTTAAAGACCCAATCTACCCTAAATCCGATTCCAACCCAGTTCCTGACCCAGTCTCAACTGCTGGCAATGTCGCCGGTGACCTTGGTGACTTGGAAGCACCACCCAGTGGACTTCCTGTACTTGCGCCCCTTCCTGACGGTGTCGTCCCCGACCTCCCAAGCGGGCTTGCGAGTAAGCCAATTTTCCCAACTGCGTCACGCTACTGACTTCCACCCCTAACTCGTTACCCAGTGCCAGTCGACATAACCGGCACCCTAGATCCGCCTCCGCTACCCAAGCTCAGTAAGAAGCAGAAGTGTCTGAACAGGGGCAAGAAAGCAATCCGGAAAGGCCAGAAGTGTGTCCGCAAATGCAGGGGAGGGGTTTTGAGGGAACCAGTGCTCGCGGTGGTCCTCGGGCGGCAACTAGCCAAGCCCACCGCAAAAGCCCTGAAGCTCCTGGCCAACGATATCCCCATTGAACCCGTAGAAATCACGTCGGCTGTAGTACCAGAGGCAGCCACGTCGGGTCTAGTGCCACTGCCACTGCCGGTGTGATGAAGACGGACGAGCCAGCTCTCCAGGGCACGGCTAGAAGAAATGGAGTAGGCTATCACGGTACATCGAGACCGGGACGAGGTGATGCAGGTGGGTGACTGGAACATGCGTCCTTTACGATACTAGATCGACTCGTTTACTTCGGCTTGCCCAGGTTGATTACGAGTAGGCATCACAGAACGAGAATGAGAATGCATAGTCTGTATTGTTCTATGATCCCAGAGCTTCATGTAACCTGAAGAATGCCGAACATACCAAAAGGAAGGTATCGGTCCACTAGACGCTCTGAATCGGGAACCGGAAAACGAGCAAGAAAAAAAAATGCAAAAATCAGAAAGGAAAGTGGTATTCCCATCCTTCACCAGGACTGGAGAAGAAAACCAAACGCCAGTCTTCAGAATCCGGGTATGTCTCTTCCTAACCAGACGCCTCGCTTCCTATGTTTATCCCAGAAACCGTGCAATCGTGCCAAGGGCAAGGATGGGAAAAGTGGAAAGAACGGCCCATCATGTCGACGCCATTTGCAGTGCCTCTATCTGTTGACGCGGAGATGTCTGGTGCGGGCTTCCTTCTCGCGATAGTCGAGCTCGGATCGGGCGTGTCTGGCGACCACTAGATGTAACTGTCAGATTTGGATTCTTGGGAGAAGGGGAAAAGGGGCGCTATGAAGTTTCTTATAGGGGCGGGGAGCGTACCATCATCAACGCGCTGCTTGGCTCTCAATAATCCCGTGTCGCCCATGTGCTTGAACTTGCCGCGCATCTCGAAGAGCTCAAGGAGGGTCTTGGCCCGCTTGAGGTCTTCGTCCATCTATGCCCATATCGTCAGCATGTATTCCTCTATCTCAACAACAACCACTAAACCAGGTAGAGAGCAAACGTACCTCAGCACCAGCCCCTCCACCTGGGGTAGCACTCCCAATCCCGACTGAGCTACCCGTGCTGGCACCCGATTCCTCTCTCGTGAAGTTTGGCGGTGGTTTACCCGGCGCGACGACCGTACGTCCCATCCTATCGTACTTTGGCCCTTGTGCTCCCGAATCTCGACGGCTCTGTGGAGTGGAGGCTCCTGTGCCGGTGGAATTGACCGGAGCTGGCTTGGGGTTCATGGGCGTCAAGAGCGCATGAGCAGCGGCGGGGTCCTGGACGGTGGTGTTAACTTCCGTCTCTGTCTTTGTCTCGGCATTCTTTGGTGTCTGGATTTGCGTAGTTGCGAATCGAGCCGGTGGCAGAGACGAGAAGCCTGGGCGGCAGAAGATGTAGGAGAGGATGCTTGTGGACAAAGCAGAAGCTGGAGGGAAGCTGGGGGGAGGAGGCATTGATGAGGAAGAAACAGGTGGGCATGAAGATGAAGATGAAGATGCAGGAGGAGAAGAAGCACCCACGGCGTTCTGCAGGGCTTGCAGATCGGCAATGATCTGTGCCATCTGGAGGCCTTCCATCTTGAGGATGAGTGGGAGTGTGAGTGCGCTGACCTGTGGTTGTCGAGATGTGGAAGAGGGGTGGAGATCGTGGGTAGTTCGTGGTTTTATAGGTACGCTAGAATCGGGGTCGGAGACGGCGAGTGAATTGAATAGCCGTGAGGATATTGTTATTGTCTCCGTGAATGGCCGTGAAGAAGCAAGAAGAAAGAAGAATGTTTGTAGGTATTTCGGACCATCTGGTGTTTATCCTTATGTCCTACAGAGAATGTTCCGGTAGTAAAATTAGAGTTTCACTTTGGGTTTGACTTTGATTTTGACTTTGGGGGTCACTGATTTCTCCGCGAAAGCAGGATAGTCCGGGGAAGGCGCTTGCAACGCTCTGTATGGCTGGCTACGCGTATATTTAGAAAATTCGATTCTATATTTGGGACGATTTTCGACATGGGGACAGACATGCTGGTCACACGAGTAGATACCGGTAGTGCTGGATCAATCAATCAATCAATAGAGGGTATTTTCGTAATAAAGTAAATTGAACGGCTGGAACTCGTTATCAATTATTCTTGGAGCACGTGATCGGCGTAATATTTCCCCGATATCCGGACCAATTAAAAGCTTTGCACGAAGCACCGCAATCGATTGCAAGTCAAACAAGTGGATACGATGGTATTTATAAATATGAACACTGCAGCATTGTGCAAAGTCCGAGGCTTAGGAGATTTGGCTAGATTTGAACACAAAAACGCGTTAGAAAATACATTGCTGAACGTGAATGATCTGAAACTTGTATATACGGAGGAGCTCGTTATTTATTAATTAATCAATGAAAATTTCGTTACTTCGTACAACTTACGAGTAGGTCTTGAGCCCACTCTGTGCTCTGGGCGCGTCTAGGTCCGCACGTTCATTGCTTGTGTTGAATTCCGCCATAGCTTCAGCATCAACATACAGAGACAGGAAGGACGTATTACTACTCCTCCAAACTCCCTGCCATGTCTCTCTTCTTCCGTCGCGGTCTTGCCACCTCTTCAGCGTCTTCCTTAAAGAAGGCTTCTAAGGTGGTCTGTATTGGCAGAAACTATGCGTAGGAATACCTCCCACTATTAACCCTCCGGGCACTTATGCGAATTTGTAGAGACCACATCACGGAACTGAAAAGCGCCCGTCCCAAACAGCCATTCTTCTTCATCAAGCCTCCAAGTTCCATCCTTCCTCCTGGCGCTGGCCCAATCATCAGACCCCGAGGTGTGGACTTGCACTATGAGGTCGAGCTGGCTCTGATCATGGGCAAGCAGGTCAAGGACTTGGAGCCCGGTGACTTGAAAGGCGCTCTAGATTCCATCGAGAGTTCGTTTCCACATCCTCCTCCTTTTCAATTGAGTTTGTGCTGACGGTTCTGTCTGGCAGGCTACGCGATGAGCATCGACATGACGGCCCGCAACGTCCAAAACGAAGCTAAGAAGAAGGGTCTCCCCTGGTCCATAGCAAAGGGCTTCGACACCTTCCTCCCCATCTCCAACATCATCCCCAAATCCGCCATCCCCGACCCCCACAAAGTCGATCTCTACCTCGAGGTTAACGGAGAGAGCAAGCAGGCAGACTCCACGGAATTGATGCTGTTCCAGATCCCGAGGATACTGAGTGATATCTCGAAAGTCATGACGCTCGAGAAGGGAGATATTGTACTGACGGGGACGCCGAAGGGCGTGGGGAGTGTGAAGCCGGGGGATGTGTTGAGGGCTGGTCTCAGGATTGGGGGGAAGGAGGTCGAGGAGGGGAGGATCGAGGTTTTGGTTGAAGAGTCTACAAGCTCATACGAGTTTAAAGAGACGTAGAGAGGGAAAAGATGTAGAGATGTTCAGAGACGTGTATTAGATACCCGAGATGGGAGTAGGATATAGACTGGATTGTAGAGACTGAGAGGCTCAGTTCAAACCTTGCCACTGTATTGTACCTCTACTACAGTACTCTGTAGAGCAACAGCAGATCACGATACCCAAAACCGTCCCAACTCTTAAAGCCCCCCCACTGAGGCTACGCCCTGCCAAGATCCAGCCCAGTACGCCATCACGATAAGTAAAGTTAAGTTTAAGGCTCTGATAAGTAGGGAAGCCCGGAGCTCATTCCACCCATATCCAAGTACTACCAACGGAGCTGTACAACGTCCAAAAGTTACATCCACATCCCAGTACAAAATCAATCCATCGCCCCCTCCCCACCACCTCTCCCCACCAGCTCGCCACCAACTCCCCGATTCGCAGCATGGCCGCGCCCCCTCCCGGCGGCCCGTCCACCTCCGGCGAGCCAAAAGACAGCAACAGCAACAGCAACAGCAACAGTAACAACAACAGCAATAGCAACAGCAACAGCAACAGCACGCGCGGCATCCCGCACTACGAGCACACGCGGACGAAGCTCAAGGACCTCCTGGCCAAGCGCTCGCGGCTCGACGAGCAGCTGCGCAAGAAGGAGGACGAGATCCGCGACAAGGAGACGCGCTACCTCGAGGGCACGGCGGCGGGGAACATCATCACGGGCTTCGAGCAGTATGTCAAGAACGCGGGCCTGGTCAAGAAGAAGATGACGGTGCAGGACAGCATGCGCGTCTTCAGCGGGAGCTCGGTCAGTTTTGGAAATGCGCAGGTGGGTTGGGGGGAGGGGCCGGGTGTATTTTTCTTCTTCTTTTTTTTCTGGTTTGGTTTTGGGGTTCGGTGTCTCTTTCCTCGATCTCTCTCTCATGCTTTGGCTCCTCTACTCTACGGAGGTTGGTGGTATGTTTCTGAGCAGTTTGAGAGGGCGGAGGGGGGGGCTTTGTGGGCTGCAAAGGGTGGAGGATGCCAGAGAGGGAACATGAGGGAAGATGAAGATGAGAGATGTGCTGGGCAACCATGACTGACGACGGCGTCGCGATTGTAGGAAACACCTCCCGAAACCGAATCCTCAACCCCCATGGCCACCTCGGCTCCTACGCCCCTCTCCGCTACATTTCTCAAGGGCGATTCGGGATCCAACGCAGCTACGCCCACCAGTACCTCGAGCGGGAATAAGGTGGGCGGGGGAGCAGTGAAGAAGAACAAGAAGGCGGTTGGAGGCGATGACAGCGATACCGATGCTGGCACCGCTGGGGTGCAGAAAAAGGCCAGGACGAATTTTGGGGCCGTGGCTAGGAAGTAGAAGATGTCTTGGGATAAAGAAAGAAGACAACTCAAAAGGGATGTTCTCGGGATATTGGCTGGGCTGGGCAAGGGCTGGGAGGATAGTGTTTTATTTGGTGTTTATGGTCATGGTGCTTGAGACGGTGGAGTTCGAGCTGTCTGTTTTAGGATACCAGGGTATTTGTTAAGTGCTGAGAGTTCATGAGACCTTTTAAGTAGTGATATCCGGATATACGTTGGTTGTCCTTGGCCCTTGGACCTTCAGTTCATCACGGCGATAACCAAGTGCTAATCTTGGTTGGGGATGCTCCTCATTTCCCAAGGATCCGTAAGGGTTTGTCACTGAGCCAAAAGTTCCGTGTCAGTGATTGTACCGAGTTATCCTCAAACTCTTATCCCTCCTCAACCAGGACCAACAGGACCACATCTGACATTCACGAAGCTGAGCCTCGGCTATCAAGGAACTTCTTCATCACTATCACTCCCAAACCCAAAGCTAAACCCACCACCGCCATTCTCCTCGTCGTTCCTCGCAACATCATCCCACTTCCTCTTCCTGCCCTCAGCCTTTCTCTCCAACTCAGCAAGAGCCTGCTCCAGCAACTCCGGATGCTCTTCTCGCATACGCTTCAAAAACACTCCATACGGATCCGTGACCTCCTTCTTGAACCCAGACACCTGATCCGCCGTATTGTCCTTGAGGAATTCCAAAACCCTCCCCAGATGCGCCCTCGGCACGAAGTTTTGCGTGATGGCGATGGACGTCTCAAGATTGACGACAAGATGCCACCATCCGCTCGGAACATGCAGCACTTCTCCCTCTCCACAAACGCCTTCCACACACCCGGGCGTTTTCCTGGCTTCAGCGTGGAATCCCAGAAGCCATTCCGCGATGCTGAGAGGCGAGGTGACTTCGCTTTGGTCTTCGGAAACGTAGACGCCCGGAGGAGGCGGACTAGATGGCGAGGAGGGGAACATAATCCAGTACTTGGAGCCGCGGAGCACGGCGTTCCAGGCGGACGTTGCGTTTGGGTCTTTGTGGTACGTTGAGCCGGAGCGGGCTGGGCCGACGATCAGCCACTTGTCGTCTGGACGGTCGTCGCCTAGGACAGCAAAGAGATCTTCGCCGAAGCACTCCGGGATCCAATAGGAAGCTGTAGGCTGGGATTTGCTGGTTTGCAGGGACATCTTTGAGACGAAGCTGCGGTCAAAGAGATAGAGGGGGCTTTCGTCGGCGCTGTTGGTCATGTATGAGACGTACGTTGCGAGGGTCCAGTCGACGGCTTCGGCGCGAAACTTGACGCTGCCGTATTTCTCTAGGAGGGTGTCCGTGGTCCAGGACCGGTAGACCGGCCATTGCTGCACCGGCTGGGTGAGGATGAAGGGCTTGTCGCTCCATTTTGAGGAGAACTCTTCGGGAGTGAGGTCCTCGAGTCGGGGAATGGTGTTGCAGTGGGGGATATTGTTGGTGAATGGTTTCAAGGATATATGGGTACAGAGAAACGGTCTGTAGAGCACGTCTGAGTAGACGTTGTCACATGTGACTTGGGCGGTCTGCTCTTTGGCCAGGCCGAGGAGAGTTGATCGCCATGTACCTTGCCATGGGAAAGAGCCTGACTTGGAGATTGGTGACCTCTGGCAGTTAGCACTATGTCTGTTGTACACGAAGATTCAAAAGCAAGTTTTTCCCAGACGGGTTGGCAAGAGGCTCTGATCTGTATCACAGACAGCTACAATAGACAGGGAAACACTTACTGGACAAACAGCGTCTTCCACAAGTCATCAGACCTGCAGAATGCGTAGAGAAACTTGCATGTCGAGCCCAACAGCCGCAGCGTGTATGAGTCAAGATAGTCAAGAAATACTGCCAGGACCTCATCCGGAAGTCCTCGAAAGGAACCTATGAAATTCCTGGATATACTGACAGCAGCAGCGGCATACTGATTTCCCGATGGCTTTACCCCCAGAGGATGCTGCGGTATGGCGTGAAGTGGGAGGTCCTCGAGAGATATTACCGTCGACTGTGACCCGACTCCTCCCCCAGCTCCGCTACCACTACTGCGGTGGACTTCCATCGGGGGGAGACCAGTCTCTCCTGAAAGGACTGACGATTTCATAGCTGCCTCAGGACAACTCCTTGCGCCTGGCCAATGCTACCTCTAGGTCTACCGGTAGGTAGGTCTAGGTCTAGGTAGGTCTAGGTAGATCTAGGTAGGTCTAGGTAGGTCTAGGTAGGTCTAGGTAGGTCTAGGTAGGTCTAGGTAGGTCTAGGTAGGTCTAGCTCTAGCTCTAGCTCTAGCTAGGCCTACTCTGTAGTCTTTGAAACTCGTAAAAGAGAAAATGGTCCAATCAGAAGAAAGAAGAATCCCTAAAAGCTGGTCGATAGTCGATAGTCGATAGGCGATAGTCGGTAGTCGAGAAACTGTCAAAGTAATTCCCCTGGTGTGTCAATTCACGTCCGGTCCGACCTCGTCCACATCCACCTCCATGTCCACTGACGGGGTGCCAGTGGGCCCACGTGTGAAAAACCCTATTAAGCGGTAGCTCCTCGCTTACCCGAGCTAGCTCCTTTGCCTCTTAGCGCAACCCTCTCTTGGCGCCATATTGATAATTTTTCTGCTAAGTATGTTCCGACGAACGCCTCCTCCTCCTCCTCCCCCTCCCCGACTCCTGTCTCTGTCTTCTCAAACCATACCAACTCAACCAACACCACACCACATACCAACATCCCCCACACAAGCAGCAACTACATCCCACTACATCTCTCGACCCTGAGAGATAGGTTTCTAGTTTCTTTACACCACAACAACCAAAAAAGCACACTCGTTGCAGGCTCTCCTTGAGACCTCTGCGCATTCCACAACCCCACCTCTTCCGACCAACCAACCAACCTATCCTCGCGACTTCTAGATTCCAAGCGCTGCTTGCGATCTAGATACTCTCGTAGATCGAAACCCGCAATCATGGCTGATAAAGGTCTCGAGGAGATCCCAGAGGGTATGCTTCCCCGGAGGTCTGCGAAGGGGCACACCGCCACTGGAGCGCCCCGCGCACAATTGGGGCATCGCGAGCTGATCAATTTTACAGGACAGATCGAGTCAAACTATGACGAAACTGTCGACTCTTTCGATGCGATGGAGCTGAAGCCCGAACTGCTCAGAGGTACGAGATAACACGGTCCATTTGTGAAGGTGAATAAGCCGTTAACTTCTGGAAAAGGTGTCTACGCCTACGGTTTCGAGCGCCCATCTGCTATCCAACAGCGTGCTATCTTGCCCGTCATCAGCGGTAAGTCTGCAAATGCTTCAGTGTCACATTTGTAGAAGCTCATACTTTCAAGGTCGCGATGTCATTGCTCAAGCTCAGTCTGGAACCGGAAAGACGGCCACTTTCTCCATCTCCGTCCTCCAAAAGCTCGACCCCGCCGTCAAGCAATGCCAGGCCCTGATCCTTGCCCCCACCCGTGAGCTTGCTCAACAAATCCAGAAGGTCGTCGTCGCTATTGGAGACTTCATGAACATTGAGTGCCATGCCTGCATTGGAGGCACAAGTGTCCGCGATGACATGAAGGCTCTTCAGGATGGTCCTCACATCGTCGTCGGCACTCCAGGTCGTGTCCAGGACATGATCCAACGCCGATTTTTGAAGACGGACAGCATGAAGATGTTCGTTCTCGATGAGGCTGATGAGATGCTTTCCGTAGGATTTTTTTTTTCCCGCGTTTTAATAGGTCTGTGCCGTTTGCTAATGATTCCATAGCGTGGTTTCACTGAGCAAATCTACGACATCTTCCAACTCCTTCCCCAATCCACCCAGGTCGTTCTCCTCTCCGCCACCATGCCCCAGGATGTGCTCGAGGTCACCACCAAGTTTATGCGCGACCCTGTCCGTATTTTGGTCAAGAAGGCTGAGCTCACCCTCGAAGGTATCAAGCAGTTCTACATCGCAGTCGAGAAGGAGGACTGGAAGTTGGACACCCTCTCCGATCTCTACGAGACCGTCACTATCACACAAGCAGTCATCTTCTGCAACACCCGCAGAAAGGTCGATTGGCTCACCGACAAGCTCACTGCCCGTGACTTCACTGTCTCCGCTATGCACGGTGACATGGACCAGGGTCAGCGTGACCTGATTATGAAGGAGTTCCGATCTGGCTCTTCCCGTGTCCTGATCGCCACCGATCTGCTCGCCCGTGGTATCGATGTCCAACAAGTCTCCTTGGTCATCAACTACGATCTGCCCGCCAACCGTGAGAACTACATCCACAGAATCGGTCGTGGAGGACGTTTCGGACGTAAGGGTGTTGCGATCAACTTTGTCACCGCCGATGATGTTCGCATGATGAGAGAAATCGAGCAGTTCTACAGCACCCAAATCGAGGAGATGCCAATGAACGTCGCTGATCTCATTTAAGCGCTGTACTCCACAAAACAAAACAAAAAAAACCTAGATAATCACCGTTCTGGGACACTGGGGTGGTACCAAAAGGTACCTGTGTCGGAACCCCTCTTAGGGTAAAGTGAGTGAGCACGGTGGTTCGCCCGCGTGCGTGGGTTATTGGGCGACATAAAAGTTGTTGCTCGGGTGCGGCTGGTTTCTTGCGTATCTTTTGGCATTTCGCCGATACTAGAAAGTTGGGAGATGCTCTCTGCTTTTCCGCTCTCCTTCTGTGTATTTATGGATTTGCTTTGGTCACCCCACATGCTTTCTGTCATGTGGATCGCGCTTCTCTAGTGGGCTGCTCACAGCTCTGGGACGTGGACTGACGCCATCATTGGTGCTGCAGTGCTTCTCGTAGCAGTGCAGGGCAAAATTCAAAGACTAAAAATTCATCTTCATCTTTTTCCTAATACTTGCACGTGACTATATTTATCTCATGTTGGCGAGCGGGTGCTCCTTCTTTCTCGGGTTCCTGACGTCTCCCCTCACTCGACCTTTGCTTACAATCTACACCCATAGAGCCAAGCGGCTCCGCGATCTTCTCCCCATCATTCTCAATATATCCTGCTCAACCACTTGCTTGTCCCCGTGTCTTCCGGACATATTCACAATCCAGGAATGGCAGCTCCCCCGAGCGCACCCAGCCTGGCAGGCCTCGCCGCCGAACGTTTGTGGGAGACGCAAATCCGTCGAGAGCACCAAGTGTTACTGAAGCAGGTTCGTGACATCGGGGCTCAGCGCGATACCGACCTCGCCAACCTTGACCGGAGCCGCGAGGAGATCACGCAACTTATCATCGCTCTCCAAGGCAGAATCGACGAGCGAGAGCGCCAGATCAACGAGCAGAACTGCAAAATAGAGGAGATGGAGACGCGACATACTGAATTCGAGTTCTACGTTAGACAGCTGATGGGTAGCTGGGTATCTGCTGGTTTGTACAAATTTCCATGCCTGCTAGAAAGGTGCTGACGGACTACAGAGCGCCTAGAGGAGATCATGGCGACGCCTGCTGCGATAGACTATTGTTCTGCGGCGACAGATCTGCTTGGCTCGCCCTCGCAAGGTCAGTAGAACTCCTATCCTGATGGCATCCGCTGACAATCTGCAGACGAACCTCGAGGCTCTATCGAAGTCGCCTTCGAGAATGCTCGCACAAGACCACCTCCACGAGTTGCCAACAGGAAGCGATCGAAGTCTGTCCTTCAGCCCGTCATCGAGGATTCATCTGCCAGATCTCCAACCAAGGTCCAGTTTTTCAGGAAACCTGCTGTTCCTCCTGCCCGCGCTGTCCGATCTCCCTCCATTGTCGACAGTCAAAAGCGACCCACTACAACTCGTCCTACTAACGGAGATCCTCCTCGAGCTTCTCCCATGACCAGAAGCAGGAGTAGGAGCAAGTCCAGTGAGCGACCTCGGGGCCCTCAATCTGCAAAACTCCCACCGAAACCTACCTCCGTCAAGATTCCCAAACTTTCACAAGGCCGCCGCACCTTTAAGGCTTACTACGAACAAGCTACAGCTATTTTCAACGATCTTGGTATCAAGTTTCAAGAGACGGAACTAGACTTTGTCTCAGCTTTCATCAAGGGTATCTTCACGAAGAAGACTGCAACCGAGCTTACAAACATGCTGGAGCAGTCTCATATGTCAAAGGTTACTCCGGATGGGACTTACGTGGTAATTTGCACATGGGACGAGCTTGGAGAGGCTGTGCGAGATGTGGGACTGGACGTTAAGCAACCAATTGTTGTCAAACGTAGGGCCAGAGATAGTTTGACTCCAGCTGCAATGCTACACATGACTAAAGAGGTTGCTAGCTTCAGAGCTGCGATCTCGTCACCGATGGATCAATCCAACAGCCGCGGCAGTAGATCCTCCAGAAGGCCGGTTGAAGATCCAGGTCCAGGCAATGGAGTCTCTAGTACAGCTACTACCGAAGTACAGCAAGCTGAGGAAGCCGGGTTCAATAGAGGAAAAGCAACTAGGGTCTCTGCAGCTGCGCAAGGAGGTAAGAAGGGTGGTGTGAGAAATGATAAGCGGTGACTGAGTGCTGTAAGTGTGTATGCGTATGCTTATGGGAGTGTGAAACGTTGGCTGGGTATTGCCGTGGCGTTCTGGACGATGGATGGTAGGATGACCATTTAAAGATTGATGAGAGGTCGGTATGGCCGGGGTTTATTTCACCCGATGGGCCCTTGTTGTGAGGCAGGGGAGAAGGTCGCTGGGAATTTTTGAGGCATGAGATCGTGAGATTTGACGAGGGTATTTATGACTGGCTTGCTCACAATAGCTGATATCTCGGGCTTGACTCGGCCTCAACATCAAACTTATCAATCATCATAGAGTAGTGCATAAGACCTCTTGATTTGTTCCATAAGCGCTGCGTTGCTTAAGTCCCATATGCTCTCAGACTTCAATGCTCTTCGTCCGTCAGACATTTACGATCCCACCTTCACGAAGCGTCCTCCTTCCCCTTTCATCCCCGTGCCTTTTCATTTAAAGAAGATGCTCCCTTACCTTGCCTACGCTCATCTTCTCGCTCGGCTGTGATGCCGCTGAACTTGTTAATCCAATCCAGCACAGTCTTGTGCCACAACAGTGAATTTTCGGGTTTGAGCACCCACTACCTCTCATAATCAGCATCTTACTCATCCCTACCTAGGTAGCCCTCCACCATCTCACATCTCACATCTCGAGGTGCAGGAGGAGGAGGAGGGAAAAACTCACATGATTCTCATCGGCAAAGGTCAGGAACCTGCTCTCGACGCCACGGCTCTGCAGCACGTTGAAGGCGGCCAGGCCCTCCCCGATTGGCAGGCGGTAGTCGAGCTCGTTGTGGATGATCAGGTGCGGCGTCGCCCAGTCGGCGGCGAAGCGGCTCGGGTCCCAGCTCTCGTAGACGGCCCGGTTGTCCCACAGGGTGCCGCCGAAGTCGTGGAGGGGGAAGAAGAGCTCCTCCGAGGCGTACTGGTTGAGGGTGCAGAAGACGCCGTCGTGCGTGACGAGCGCCTTGAATTTGCGGCCGAGGGGGTGGCCCTGGATCCAGTTGATCACTGTTGTGATGGGAGGGACGGAGTTTAGATTATAGCTTAGTGAGAACTTGGTGTTGGGGAAGGGGGTGGCCGGGGAATTCAGAGGTAGGGAAATGCTTACTGTAGCCGCCGTATGAGGCACCGAGGGCCACGGCGCGGGTCGTGTCCACGTAAGGGATGTTGTTGTCGATGTACTCGAATCCCTTTACGAGATCGATGTACGGACGGCCGCCCCATTCGCTCTTGATGCCGTTTTGCAAGGCCATGCCGTATCCTGAGGAGCCGGTTGGGTTGGGCGTTACGACGACATAGCCTTGTTCGGCGTAGATTAGGGGGTTCCAGCGCGTAGACCATGACTCGTTCCATGCTCCTTGTGGCTGGGGGATGTTAGCGATGGTACTATGGGTTATGGGTAGAAATGAAAAAAGAAGGACTCACGCCGCCGTGGATGAGGTATGCTAGGGGGTATTTCTTCTTGGGGTCGAAGTTGGAGGGCCTGATGAGCCAGGCGTGGATCAGTTGGTCTTCGGAGCCGGCGTACCAGAATTCGTCGACCTGGTCTTGAGAGATGCCGAATGACTTTCCTCCCTTAGAGCTGGATGATATCACAGACTTCTCTGATGGTCTGGCTGGGTCGAGAACAGACCAGATGCTGCTATCTACTAACGAAGTACTGTTGACGAACAACCGATTCTTGGGAAGAAGTTTGACACTCTCTACAGCTCCGTCATGAGTGATAGCTACCGGGAGGTCTCGTGCTCGGCGAGGAGAAGCTGGGATTTTGAATAGCTTCCCTCTACCTTTTTCTTCGGCCGTTACGTACAGCTCTTCTCCATCCTCGCTCCAAGTGATGCTGTCTGGCTTCAAATCCCAGCGCCCTTCGCCATCTGAAGTCTCGTAGAACTCCTGAACATTGGTGAGGTCTGTAATATCTGCCCAAAGGAGGAGTCTGGGCTTGTCACTCTCATACTGTGGATCCTGCATCCGCCAGAATGCTACAGATTTCGCATCTGGTGAGAAGACTGGAGAGCCACTGTATCCTTTCAGATTGCCAGTTTTGACCAATTGCGGTGAGGGAGGTCTGGTCTCTGTGAAGCTTCTGAGCGGAATGTAGTATAGGTTGCTTTTGGTGGTGGTCGCTTGGTTTAGCTCGGGGTCTTTGGCGACGAACACAATGCCGTTCTTGCTGATATCGAAATCGCCTTTTCCAGCGAATGGAGGAACTGGAGATTCCAAGGAAAAGGAGTGTCCAGCTAGAGCATTGGTCAAGGGGGCAACGACCATACCCCATACTCCATGTAACTTCTGTAAAGTGGTATACCAAATGGCATTCGTGTTCTCCGTAACATAGGCATCCCAGTGCCTGACAAAGAGCTTGTCATAGATCTTTCCCGAATTCAAAGGCTTCACGGCATTTTCTGAGTTGAAGAGCTCGCCAGAGGGGGTAGCGAGTCCAGTAAGGACAATAGCTACGGTATTGGAGTCGAGATGTGAAATTTTAAGGTTCTTCACATCGCCATTGAAGCTGGCAATATCTTCCGGTCTACTTGGTCAACAGTCAGTCCGCTTTCAAGTGACTGCAAAACTCACCTGTTGTCCAAGTTCTCGGCGTCTGCAAGTACCAAGCTCGTAGTCCCCTTGTCTCCTGCTCTCAACCACAACACCAAGTTCTTCTCGCCCAACCATGTTGGCTCACTGCACTGCTTGTCATCCGTGAGCACCTTCGACTGTCCCGTCTTCACATCCAGTACTCGAATCTCCACAGACTTTTTGTGGGATTGGAAGCTCCAGGTCTGGACTGTGAATAAAGCCAATGCCCCATCTGCATTTGGCGTTGCTGCAGATCTTCGAGGAGCAGAGAGCAGCACTTCCGGAGTGAACTTTTCCGCGCGGACAGTCATGATGAGTGAGGTTCGTGAGACGCGGAAGAACGGGTGTTATTTGGACGACTGCGAAGATCCCAGGTTCTGGTTCTGGGGGGGAACTGGGGAAGTCGTGATTTATATAAGTATGTTGAATATGTTGAATACGTTAGATATGTTGAATATGTTGAATATGCTCAATATGCCGAATATGTTGAATTATGTTGAATATGTTGAATTTGAAAGCAAAAGCTAAGCACACCGCCATCTGCCTGCCGCCCGTGCAGCGCCCGTATATATATTGTTAAGTATGAATTTCTGTAATATGTTGCAAGCAATTGAAGCAATCGGGGCACAATATTTTACATTACATTGTCACTCCGTAAACGGTGCCCGGGTGTACGAGCTGATGATAGTTACAATATAGTAGTCGGTGGGTCTGTCTGCAAGGGCATCATCATCCATCAGCCACAGCATGACGGTCGCTTACTTACTGCCAGCTTGATACATCCTCATATATATATATATGTATATACGGATATATATGCTCCGTTCATCATCTGGCCAACACCAAGTCAACAACACAATCCATAACCTGCCTGCTCTCCCAGCGTCCGAATTGTTCTCGGGTCATCGAAGCAGCATTTAGCCGGAAGACCGAGGCGGTGTCTGTCCAGGAGAGTTTCGACAGCTCACACCGGCCTATTAAGTAGAGCTTCAGAGCTTCAATCAAGTCGACACGTCTTCTTGTTCGCAATGGCACAATACTTCCTCGACCTCGTCTATACCCTCATAAACTGTATGAGCTGTTTTCCTGGCTCCCCGCAGCTCAAGATCAACAATAGGAGTTTCAAAATCTTGCGCCTCCTAGGTGAAGTACGCAGCCCAGCCCAGCCCAGCCTAACTCTACAGCTGTCCGAGAACCCGCTGACAATTATCGTCCTAGGGAGGATTCTCCTACGTGTACCTCGTCCAAGACACCAGCAATGAAGCGCTGTATGCGCTCAAGAAGATCCGATGTCCGTTCGGGCAGGAGTCCGTTGCGCAGGCGATGAAGGAGGTGGAGGCATACGCGCTGTTCACTCCGCATCCGAACATCATTTGCAGTGTTGATTACTGCGTATCTTCTGACCGATCGGACCCGGGCGCGAAAACGGTGTACATCCTGCTGCCGTACTACCGACGAGGGAACCTGCAGGATATCATCAATGCGAATTTGGTCAATCACACCAAGTTTCCGGAACGCAGGCTGATGGTTTTGTTTCTGGGAGTGTGCAAGGCATTGAAGGCCATGCATAATTACAAAGAAGGTGGAGGACCGGGCGGGGTCAAGAGCCAGAGGAAGGCAAAGAAGATTAGAGGGGAGGCGGCGCAAGCGGATCAGGAGGAGGAAGATGAGAGTGAGCAAAGGAGAGGCCGACAAAAGGGCAGAGAGGTGGATCCAGACAGCGAGCAGCAGGAACCACTGATGGATGGAGAAGTTACACAAAGCCAAGTAGGCGTTGCACCGGGAGATATCAAAGCGTATGCGCATAGGGATATCAAGCCAGGCAAGCAGAGAGATCGAGAAGATGACGAAGTGTGGCTAATGAGTAGCAGGCAACATTATGATTGACGATGATGGAGAGCAGCCAATTCTCATGGATCTTGGATCGCTAGCCCCTTCACCTACGCCAATTACGTCGAGATCACTTGCTTTGGCTGTACAAGACCAAGCAGCCGAGCACTCTACGATGCCATACCGGGCTCCAGAGCTATTTGACGTCAAAACTGGCAGTACAGTCGACACTAAGGTTGATATCTGGTCCCTGGGATGCACTTTATATGCCTGCCTTGTTGGGAAATCTCCATTCGAGATGCGCAGCGACGAAACTGGAGGAAGCTTGAGTCTCTGCGTCCTGGGTGGAGACTGGAGATTCCCAGATGAAGGCGCAGGAGGAAAGAAAAAAGCCGTGAACCAGCCAGGCCAAAGTGAGGACAGCGAGATCAGCGAAAGTATTCGGGAGGTGGTACGGAAATGTCTGAGAGTTGAACCCGCTGAGAGACCGGATGTAAACGAGCTGATTGATATCGTTGAGACAGTTATTGGGGAACTGCCCGAGGACGGCACTTCTTAATAGGTGTTGGCGGTGTACGATTACAGGACGGGGTTCAGGAGTCCTGGGTAAGAAGATCAGGTCTGCAAGCTGGGACAACGACATGTATTAGTTCTTCTGGAAATTGATGAATTTCCGATCACGGACGGCATTTTTGCCAGATCATGGGCCTGAAACGTTCTTTTCATTGGGTCATAGTGGTTGGTTTACTAGTAAGTAATGTACTGAAGAAGCCCCCGTTGGTTTCATGCCCAAGTGGGCATGGTTATTGAGGCAAAACTTTTCGATGTTCCTCCCCAAAGTCACAGCAAGTTAGCTACTTCACATTTACGCCCAGCGCATTGTACCACACTTATCTTAAGCCATATTGTTTGGGATTTGAAAAGTGCTAGCCAGGCTGTTCGGGCTACCCAGGGCGCATAGTCAAATCGGACAGCCAACATCTTCCCTCTCATTCACATCATCAACATGAACATCAGTATCACATCAGCATCAACATCACCAAATTCATACACAACACGAGCTTATATAAAATAGAAGAACACAGTCAAGAGGAAGAAATCGACAATGGCAACCCCCTCTCCGCCACGCCCACAGACCCCAAGACCTCGACTCCCTCCCCCGCAACCCCCGACTCGCCCCTCACCTACGAGGCTTTCCGCCAACTGCGCGCCTCAGGACACTCGCCTCATGCCCTAATCGCATCCATCCTCATCATCCAGCACGTCCCGAGAGCCAGCATCCCATTCCTGGTCCTCGGAGCCAGCATCCCGTTCTCGGAGTCCTCCGACGTCGAAGCCCTGCAGGGCCAACTGGGCTACCGAGCTTATCACCTTCGTTCTGCTGCTCTGCGTGACGAACGCCAACCTGGGCTTCTGGAGCGAGGGGCTGAGGGAGGGCTGGGCGCTGTGAAGACGTGGGTTCCGCAGAGGAGGGGGAGGTGAGTGAGGATGTTAGGAGGATTACTGGGGGCAAGGAGAGGGTCGAGTGGGCTCCCTCGGGGTATGTGCTTGCTGGCGTCCTAGTGGTTGCCGTGGCTGGGTTGGAGTTCGGGCGGCTCGTGGAGTGGCTTTTTCGATGAGCTCGTTGTGTTGGAAAGAAGGGCCTGTGGAGAGGAGAGGGGATGGATGGTTGATACTCAGTCTTTAGGGAGTTGGGAGAAGTACACTCTGAGCAGATTCTGGGGTTACGAGCTCGTATTGATACACTTTTCAGAGCTGGTTACTAGCGAAGGGATGGTCTAAATCTGGAAGATATAGTCAGATTGCACTACCAACCCTTGTCTAGTCATCGTCCTCAAATGCCATGCAAAAACCTCGGTTTGCTTAGCGACCTTCGCTTGTTGAAAAATGACTTGGACAGCTTAAGCTCATATATTCGTACCGCAGATGGAACCAAATAGCCACCTGTGAATTGCTAGCATGAGGCATTGTGCAAACGTTAGGCGCATCTAGAATCTTGCAGGACCGTTGAAGTATACCTTTATGGGTTGTGCTACCCAAGATCCACTTCCAACCCGCCTCCCAATCGGTCCTATACACACATTTTATACAACGTCCCAGGACCTGCTGTGAACAACTAACCGTGTGTCCCCCATTGGAATCCACCCGAATGCATGTCTCTAAACATTCGGGTCCCTAATCTCCCCCTCCTTCGGCGCGCTCTCCGCCATCGTCCCACAGGCCTTACACCTCCTCTTCTCCTCACTCCCCTTGAACCCCTCGACCGCGGCCTTGATCTGCGTCCCCAGATCCGTACAGTGAAAGCTCTCCTCATACACCACCCTCCTGCAGTCCTCCCGCGGGCAGTACCACCTTAACGTATCCACACTCCCCTCGGGCCGGGGCAGCTCCAACACCACGCCGACCGTGTTCGCGAACCGGACGGGGTTGTGCGGCGTGTTGGGCGGCAGGAGGAACATGCTGCCCTCGGTGATGTAGACGTCCCGGAACTCGCTGCCGTCGACGACCTTGAGCAGCATCGTGCCCCGGTACTGGTAGAACCACTCCGGCGTCGTGTTGATGTGGTAGTCTGTCCGGGCGTTGGGGCCGCCGACAATCTGCGGGGCCCGGAGCCGGGCCAGCTCGTCAGCTGGAGCTCTCTTTTTTTCTTTTTTTCGCAGGAGGTAAAGAGACGATGGGTAGTGAGGGAGGGGGACGGGATGGTACCATGACGGTCATGTCGTCGTTGTAGACGCAGTAATTGTTCACCGGGGGCTTGAGGAGGTGCGAGTTCTCTTCGAGCCTGGGATGTATTGTATGTATATTAGCGTCTCTGGAGCTTGGAGGGTCATGTCGAGGAATAGAGAGCTTCGCATACCATTTCGGGATGTTGAGGGGTGTTGAGAGCATTTTTGACAGGTGAAATTCTTGGTGATGTTGAAAAGTGTGGTGTTTTGGGAAGTGAGGTTTGGAATTCATGGAGGGGTAATCAGTGGCGGGGTCTTGTGTGGATCAGCATACTGATGGATTATCTACAGGGGTGAACAGCGGGACTTTCCGCCGCTAAATTGCTATCGTAACCGAAAGACGTTGGAAGTAAACAACGGGAAGTAAACAAGAAGTAGACAGAGGCCTGGTAATCAGTGTCAGCAGAAAATCTTTCTGAAGTCTAGGTTCTCTTAGTAAGATAAATTGACAAATTGATTCAGCGGATAAGAAGGATCAAAAGTTTGAATTCTGGATACTCAATACGATGCGCCGACTAAAGATTACATATTAAAGCTAAGATATTTATAACATATTGTGATCCTCAAGCGGATCGCGATTCCGCGAAGACAGAGTGACTCACTGGTACATAGAATACAAATGAGCGGAGGAAAACCGCTGGAGAATGCTATTTACTATTAGTATATTCCTCATTTCAAATTCCATCATGATGATGTAGAAAAGGATGATAATGATGATACCAATTTGCGTTTCGCAGCGGGCCCTGTGAAAAGGGAGGTCATAGCACCGACTAGCTCAGCGCAGACTATAAATGGGCTTCCTCCGCCATAAACGAATAAATATCGAACCTTCTCCCTCTTCTACGTATTAGGATATAGTCTGGCCCATGTGGAAACGGCCTCTAGATAGCCAGGGGCTCGAGGGGCTCGCTAGTGGCCCTTATTTTAAGCGAGACAGTTTCCAGGGTGAAAACCCTCTCCTACATCACTTCCTTTGATAGGGTGGTTTATCTTCAAAATCGATTGCTTGGAACAGAGGAAAAATAGGTGAACATGTGAGTTTGGCTGACAGGTGCCCTTGAGCTTTGATTTGTGTAGTGACAGCTGGCTAGCAAGCTTTTGATCTGAAGCAGCTGAGAGTAGCTTGCTAGAGGAGATGCCCGCTGTCAGCTGTCCAAGATGGAGCTAGGCTCAATCAAAGTAGCGTGGGGCTCCTTTTGGGGCCTTTCTGAAGTACATGAAAAGATTTTCTACGTACATCGACACCTACAAGTCACCACTCACTATTCCAATTGGGTTGAGGGTGTCGATCGCTCTAGCGGCCAGGCATCGAAATCCCACTCGCTTATTTATCGGTACTCAAAAGAGCTACGCTATACAGATTATCACAAAAGCGAAGGTGGTGTATAGGATAGATTGTGAGGCCGCGCCGAAGTGGGTTGTTAAAAAGTGTCAACTTAACTAGTGGGTGTCGATTTATAGGTGTCGATGTAGAAAAGCTCTACATGAAGCGTGGCCTAAGGTGGGGGAATGAGTAGATCACTTCCATAGCAATCGATCAATACTGATGATCTCCTACGCAGCTCTGGGAGATCACCACTGTAATAAAGCTTAATCTGACCAAAGGCCCTCATCCTGCATCATACCGACAGCCTTGGGATTCATTGAAGGTTGTAGCCCGCTTACTCCTCTGGGAGTATGAACACCGACGTGTTGAAGTCGATTCAGGTTTGGATTCAGATTTTTAATTGACTTTGACTTCACAGAATCTCCATGATGATAGATGGAGATCGATGTAAAAGATACTAATCAATGAGTAAAGCCTTTGGTTTGATAATATATATATATATATATATATATATACGTATATATACTTCTTTATCTGAATTGCGCCTTCCAATCCATTACAGCCCCTATTAGCCAGTTAACCGAGTGTTAAATCTATTCCATTACTCATTTGATCCGTCCGTTATGTCAAAAGTACTAAATCTGCTTGAGAGCCAGATTGAAGCGGCGTCATTGAGAGAGGGGTAAAGTGCGCACCTTACAGAGGTACAGCAGGTAGGTAGTATCACCATGTCGAAAGCAAGGGGGGTGTGGAGGTGGATGTGGAGCCTACACTTGACTTAAGAAGGGACTATTTCACGTAACGAAAAGAGAAGCATAGTACGGAGAAGTATTTCAGCGATGCTGTTGGGTTAGACAGGTACCCCGTACCCCTGCCGACATGGTATTTATCAATACTTAGCAGTCCACACGTTATTCGGCTGGGAGATCTCTTGGTAATAGCTAGCCGATTTTCACGCTATTTCGTGTCCCTCTATACAAACAGAGGCAGCAAGGGTAAGTGCATACTTGTTTTTATGTCTCAACAAATCATATGGGCATCAAGTTTCTGATAGGAATAACGCCCTCTGACTAGTTCCTGTTGGCAGTCCGTTATACTGGTATCATATTTATTTAATCGCACTACCTGCCTGCTACAAGCTCGCTAATATCACGCATTGAGACAGCTCCCATCTCCTACCCTCGAGGCTCAATACGGAGGTTGATCTGGAGCAAAGTCGAACGGCATACCTCCGACTGCGAAGGGCAAAAATTGCTGCTCTCCCCACATCGGCCACTCCCAGTGCTCTACGAGCTCATTCTGCGGCATGCTGCCATCGATCGGCATGTTCACCGGCAGCACCTCCTGGGCTTGTGGCAATGGATAGCCTACATTAGAGAGCTCTTGTAGGCTCAAAGCAGCTGCATGATGAGGCCCATTTCCAACATGCGGTGATGCGATCTTGTTTGGACACTGTCCGTCATTTGGCACCTCTTCACTGTGAGCAGGGGGGACTCCTGAGCAGTCGTGGATCGAAGCTTCTAGCGCCGTAAAATCCGACCTGGTCTTCCCGAAGAATCGCGCACGATCTTGGTTTAGGCGCAGGTAAAGGTTTTGGGTATGTTTCAAGGTTTGGCTCTATGTGGGGGAGGGTTTCAGTATTGTGTGTGGCCGAGAACAGGATTGCTGACCTACCCATCCATTGCCCATTTTCCAAATGACCTTGAACTTGTTGAGGTACTCGAAATTATGCCCGGCATTCTTGAACGCGTCCGGATTCCTGTTTAAATCCATCCTTGGAAAATATGCGGAGTAGAGATTCATAGTTCCTGCGGAGAACGAGCAAAACCCGGCGAATGGTGTCAAGAAAGGTGTGTTGAGCAGTTCCATCTGTCGGAGAATGGATGTGATGCTAGCAGCAGCATCAAAGAGGTCTTTTGCTCTGTCCTCCCACCAGCCTGGAGGCGCAGTGCTTTCTAAAAGTGGCGGATCGACAGGCCCCTCAGGTTCAGACTCTTGGTTTGGTAGGAAGGGGATGTATTCCCGTGTCAAGAATAGAACACTGCGCTAAGTCAGATAAATTTCGCCCCCCCTCCTGTAACCCCCCCTGAGTCCATGAAGATAATAGTACCTAACGTAATAAAGCAAGTTCACGAACGCAAACTTTTCACCGCATCCCAGAGAAACATGCACAGCAATACCAGTCTCGGAATATCTAAGCCTCTCGGATTGCTGACCTCGCCATTCTTCGAGGCTATCGTATAGAACTCTCCAGGGTGATCCACGAACCCAAGGGCAATTTTCTGGCTTCGACATATCTGGTAGCCGTCTACCGCCGCTGATGATGAGATCTAGAATTTTGGACCAGATATCGAAGCCTTTGATCAAGATCCAGTAGTATTCGTTCATGGTGTATATTCCTGAAGGAGATACCGGCACACCTGCAGCCAAAGTCCTTCCGATCCTTGATGACCCACCGAACGCAAAGTCCTGATCGCCAATCGGCATATCGATTGCCATTTTCTCAAGCGGTAGAGCCAATGGTTGGCTCTTCCCACAGACTATCAGACGGTCCATTACGAAGCAAGCCCAGAAAGTTCTGTTATGTATCTCACCATCTCTGCCATGGCGGTTTGAATCCGACTTCATGGCATCGATCGACTGCATCATTCGAGTTGCTGTACCACTGTGCATCCAAGCTCCCGCTCCATTACCAGCACCCCACTCAAACATCGACATGATCAAAAGAGACTGTGGAAGAACTAGAAGTCAGTGAACGATCGATTTTATTCATGTCTCGGGAGCAGCGTTTTGAGGCTCCTCCTGAGACGCTCGAAATAAGGGTATTGGCTACTGCCTAAATACAGACCTGCACAGTGACCAAACGGGGAGGATCGCTAAGGATGGAACGGAGTCCATCTCGAGCATAAGAAGCGTAGTCTGCTTCGTTTAGAAGAATCGCTTGTGTCCGACCCGGGAGAAGCCGATGGCACAGGGCAAACATTGCTGCAATGTGAACCCAATCTTTCTCTCCGCCGTCCGAAGACCCTGAATATGTCGGTAAATGCAGAAAAGCTAGTTCTGGGAAATTCTGGCAAAAGACTGTAGCGACTTCGATGATCATCTGAGAAGAGGTTCCCAGCATGATGTCTTTGGGAGTCTGCCCCGGTATTGAGGGTTCCCGAACAACAATGCGTGGAACTGGCTGGGGATTTGAAATGGCATGATTGACTTTGGGAGCTTCGGAGACAGTCGGTTTGACGGGATTAGACGTTTTGGGCGTGACCACTGTTGTCTCCCTTCCTGGCCGTCTAAGATCGAATGGGCCAGTGAGAAGGCACTCTTCTAGCCTGTTGCTCTTGAGGCAATTACGACATGGTGGCTCTCCCAGATGCACACACTTTATTTTGGATCTCCTGCTTAGAAATCAGAGACCGTAACGTCGGGAACAGTTCTCAACCTCATAGCCGCCGCAAGTACCGAGAAGTACCGAGGCAGAAGTAAGACAAGAAGGTTAACGGAGGGCTTGAAGGCAACGGAGGGCTTGAAGGCTAGTAAAGCTTGCCTTGCGGCGCCGTGGCTGATGCAATATCTCCGAGATAACAAGATAAAGACTATTGGTCCGGACAATAGATAGTAACCAATGCCAGGATAGCTGATCCGACGCCCTTAGGTCGTCGGGTTCGGGAATCTAGCGGGATACATACCGGCACCATGAGCACGCTATCGTTGTACGGACCATCGTGTATATGTATACACCTGTAAATGTATATGTATGTGTGTGTATATATGAGTGTATATATCTGTCTGGTAATTGCGCTGGGGGCCGAGTCGTGAATCACCTGGTGCGTTATCGACAAGAGAGAAGGTACGGCATGAGGTGTCGTCGGGTTTGAGGTCTTCTTGATCTCGCTAGTTTCGGCTTTCCCTCGGCTTTGAAAAGCTTAGCCTACAGCCCATCCCGGGAAGTCGGTGAAGCGCCGGTACAGTATATATACGGAGGATAGGTATATACACGTATTGGTTGCGGTAGACGGAGGGATATCAGGTCTCGGGCTTCTCTGCATTATCCGACGTTGTGAGTACACACCGGATGAAAAGAGGAGAACTCGCTCGAAACCGATCTGTTTTCTTCTTGATGTGTAATTAAGTACGAGGTTTTTTCCCTGCCGGCCCTGCCGGCCCTCTCGGCCCTCTGCAAGCTCCGGGGCCAGGGGACCTCGCTTCGCAACGGTCGCGTATACGGCTTGCTTTCCGAGGCTTTTAACATCAACGCCACATCACTTTTAGAGGAAATACACTTTACAATTATGTAAAGAAGACCTGATCGAGTTTCCCGAACTTTACGATATAATACGTATAACATAAGATTAAGCTTCAGCCCCGCCGCAAGCGAAGTTTTACGGCCCTCTGCAAGCTTCGAGATTATTCTTGCGGACTCCGCGGTATAATATTCGTAGCATTAATGCTGCTTCACTTTTACAGAATACAATAAAACTTTGAAATCATGTAGGAAAGATGTAAACGCTTCAGGCCGGCTGCAAGCTGCGGGGTGAATTTTCCGAACTTCACGGTATACTACTTTTAATAGTAGCCTCTTTCCAAATACGATGCAAGTAATTGTCTCTCTAGCACTCTATTCCTAATAGTAGTCTTTTTAAGTGCGGTGCAGCCAGCTGCCCTCGAGCATTCAATCTATAGCAATAGCCCTCTTCGGCGCGATGTACGGGCTCTATGGGCTTTACAATTCCTCGTTTCTTGATGGACACCCCTAAAGCAGGAATCGCCCCTGAATGCTGGAGCTCCACCACTGGCATGTTGTGCAAAAGCTAGCAGTAGGGCGCGCTTACAGCTTTCCTATACGCCCTGGTTGGAATTGCCGCGAGTTTCGGCCACCTGAGCTATGGAATTGGCCACGGCCTCACTCACGCCCATATCGGGGGAGTCCTTTGAGATCTTCCTTATCTGAATGCCTCGCCCTCTCTCAAGAACATGGCTATTGTGGTGATGACTGACGAGCTCGTAATGGGCCTAGAATTGCTGCTTACCATCCTGGTAATGAACTTCGAGTGGTCGTAAGCTATTGAGGCCGCGAAGGATCATTGCACTTTGAACTGGCTGTTCCAACATCTCCAACATCAGTGGACACTTCTCCCTCTCACCATTCAAGATATGAGGATTACCTGTCTTACAGTAACACTTTTGCCTCTCCCAGTCGGAGGGCTGGAGAATGCCTCCATGGCGATTGCCAGTGGAGCTTCTTTATTCTCCGAGGACGGCCGGACAGTAGTGATGTTCATCCTCTGTCTTGCTCCGCTCTTCGACACCATTCTACTCACAGTCCTCGCAAAAGGCACTATATAGAGTCTTACAAGTGGAGTGTGGCTTCTTCTCTGCACCCCAGCTTTATACGTTCTTCTCTGGTTTACTTCCAGCAACGTCCCCGGATTTTCGAAGGAGGTGAACGCGACTACTGTTGTTTTTGTCGTATTCTGCGTTTCAAACATCCATCATTTCTCAGTCGCTCATTAGTACGGAGGCCGCCGGATACAAGGCGAGTATCCGGGCAATGATCGTATCCATGCCCTTCACATTAACTGTAACGGTGGCACCTCTATGGAAGATTCGCCTCACTTCAGGTGCAGATGATAGTCTGAAAGCGAAGAACATGTATCCCGCCACAAAGCTGTGCCGCTAACATATGTGTGTGCATATAGATATATATATATATATATATTTTATATATATTTATATATATTTATATATATTTATATATATTTATATATATTTATATATATTTATATATATTTATATATATTTTTATATATTTTGATATATATTGATATATATTTCATAACACCACATGAACCCTGAATTGCTTTTGTTCGCAACTGGAGCATTACCACCACCTTGCAGTTTTGCATGGTATAACATGCAGACCAGATGCTGTGAGAGGTGAGAGAGGGCGAAGCGACTCCGCCACAAGGCCCCAGCTAGCCGACGAAGGACAGCGATCAACGCCTCTCGGTTGACGGCCCATTGAAAACTGGTTCCAGTAACAACTCGTCTGATTACATATGCATGGGCGGTTGGGATACTTAACGGGGCTTGCGACCCCCATCGTGTCCATTTCTTTTTTCCTTTTTCCTTTTTGTTGTCTCACAGTCTCGCGTCGCATAGACGATTTCGATGGCCGAAATCATCGGTCTCACAGCTTCCGTAGTCCAGCTCGTCCAATTCAGCGGCGATATCCTAGTTGCAGGCTATGGCTTCCTATCAAAGGTCGCACGAGCGCCTGCTGAGATGCGAGACCTGCTCTCCGAAAGTGCTGGATTGAATTGCGTTCTTGGCCACCTGCAGACGTTGGTAGAGTCGCCAGCTTCTCCAACTGACGCACTGCATTCCCTTGAGAAGCTCGGGACTTTCAAAGAATGTCACGCGTTGCTGGTAGGAATCAAACGATCCCTAGATGCTTGCGAGCAGGTTCATGGTAAAGACCTCCGAAATTTTGGGCGCAAGCTAGTGTGGCCTTTCAAGGAGAGGGAAACGAGAGACGCTCTCCAGAGACTCGGCCGGATTCGGGGGCTCATATCTTCTGCTATTGATAACGATTCTGCGTAAGTAGCCGGTTACTTCAAAAGCGCAGGGGTTTTATTCACATTTCCAGATTGGCACTTCGCCGCATTGAAAAGGGACAGGCTGCGATGCTCAATGAAGTGACAGATATATCTACGGGACTGAAAGTTCAGATTTCTCGGGATGACTTCACGAAAGTTACGGACTGGCTGTGTACTTTGACCGAATGGAATGCGTCAGAAAGTCTTCAGAGCGCTCTTCAGGTCCGACATCAAGGAACCGGTACATGGTTCCTGGAATCTACGACTTTCAAATCATGGACTCGAAACGGAAATGGGTTATTTTGGATAACTGGAGCTCGTAAGTTGATCTCCACATCCATCTTGCATAGATAGACCTAATTTTGGTGTAGCTGGGTCAGGTAAAACAGTCCTCTGGTAAGTTCTGGACCCGTCCCTGCGAAATCTTCGGTGTACTGATTGATTGCCAGCTCAACGATCATAGAGCATCTTCGAGATTCGTTCAGATCACCATCAACTGCCATTCTATACTTTTTCTGTGACCATCGAGTTCAGCAAAATCTGGCATCAAGGTCATTCTTGATGTCTCTTGCCACGCAAATGGTTTACCAGTCAGAAAATTGCTTCCAATACGCGCAAAAGTTATACAGGGAGAAAACAAAGGACTCAGAGCGTGTACTGAATACTTCCGAATACGCCTCCCTCGTGAAGGTATTTTTTAAGGAGTTTGATCAAACCTTCGTTGCCGTTGATGCACTGGACGAGGCCTCTGATAAGGCGGCTATTGCCCATGCTTTGAAAGACATGTTGGGATTGTCCCCCAAACCGTCAAATAACAATATAGGTGACCCCGCCGTTAAGATCATTTTGACAAGTCGGGAAGACAAATCCATCCAACGCATTTTAGCGCCATCGGGAACGGAGTATTCACAGTTGACCTTGGAGAAGAATTCACGCGCAGATGTCGAAGGCTATGTACGATCTGAGGTCCAAGCCAGGATTTTGTCCCGGGAGATCAAGCTCCGAGACCCAGAGCTGGCGACTGTTATCGAACGTACCATAACTGACCGTGCCGGAACGTCAGTTTGCCCCTGAAATTGTTAAAATGGTACTGACTTGTTCAGATTTCTCCAGGCAAGGTTGCAACTGGATATGATCTCAACATTGAAGACAGACAAGGCGATCAGGATGACCTTGCAGACTCTCCCCGACGGATTAACAGCAATCTACGAAAGCGTTTTGGAATCAACACTGGAGCAGTATCCCACGCAGGTCCAAGATATCAAGCGCATATTACAATGGCTCGTTTGCTGCGCTGAGCCGCTCACTGCTTCCGAGTTGGCCGAGATCGTTGCGATCGGGCCGGAAGACAAATCCTTAGACCTTGACGGGGTTCCAATAGATCACGAAGACGTTACTGAGCCCATCTCCCAACTAATTGCCCTCGAGCACGAAGGTGGCGACGTCATTGTCCAATTCAGTCACTTCTCTATACAAGAGTATCTGTGCGGAAGAAAAATAGCCGCCGGACCGCTCAAAGATCTCCATATAGACGAGGAAGAAGCCCATGCTCTGGCTGCTGAAATATGCGTCCAATACCTATCTTTTTCGGATTTCAATGAGCCTCTTTCTGCGGGCTTAGCCAGTCCTACGAAACATTTGAATCGAGAATTGAAGACCTTTTCTTTACTGGAATATGCAACATTGTACTGGCACTATCACCTTCGCATGAGCAATATGACCCGTGAGGCATTTGCTGCTCGCATGGTGCCACGACTGCAATGGTTCCTAAACTCTGAAACCCAACCAAACATATTCACTCACTGGCAGGCAATGATCCTGATGCTAAAGCCGGATGATAAATCGAGCACCCACTCACCATTATGCTTCGCCATCAGACACGGGCTACGGCCAATCGTCGATGCTATGCTCCCGTTGCTGTCCAACGTCAACCTCGTCTTCCCCAATGGCTTCACCTGCCTCGGTGCCGCCGCTAGCGGAAGCCAAGTCCAAATCGCAAAAGCGCTCCTCAACCGAGGAGCAGACGTCGATCTGCCTACGGGAGACAGAGGCCAAACGCCCCTCCACCTGGCCGCCGAGAACGGGGACGAGGAAATGGTCCGGTTCCTGCTGAACGCAGGCGCATCCATCTATGCACGATCTGATTCCAAGACCACCCCGTTCTACCGAGCGGCCCGGAGCGGCAACTTGAACGTTCTCCGCCTACTCTACGACAAGGGAAGCGACATCAACGCGAAGAGCTGGGATGGCTGGACGCCGCTGATGGAGGCTGTAGAGAATGGACACGCGGCGGCTGTGAAACTCTTGCTTGGCTGGGGCGCCGACCCGGGAATCTGCACTCGTTATGGCAACACGGCTCTGGGTCTTGCCGCGAGCTATAGATCCGCCCCGATTCAGGCGCTCCTGGAAGCGGCCGTGAAGATTCATGGAGAGGCCGCAGCGAATGAGTCGAGAGTAGATGAGCCACCGGATGTAGATACAGGGGATTGTGATAGTGAGGACAGTGACCTGGAAACGGTGTTTATCTCTTACTGAGCTTGAGTTTCAGGGAATTCTAACAGGCTATAGCAACGCCAGGATGTTTCATAGGGTAAAGAAAGGTAGAAAGAATAGCAAGGACATAAGACGAGAAATAGCTGTAGATCATTTGCACAGAAGGAGGCGAAACAGTGGTCGTACCCCTTCCAATGTCTGCAGTAGGAATGTCCGTTCTGCGTGTTGGTGGCCAGTACCTTAGGGCCCGGCCAGACAGCTCAACCCAATCTACCTACTTCAGATTAGAATTCCAAAGGCAGACACCAGATACGTTGCTTGGAATATTCTTCCTATCGAGCATCCAATTTGCAAAGGCGAACACTTCTTCGAAGCAGCTATTACATAGCAACGCAAACAAAAGGACTAGTAAGATACCCAGAACCTAACCTGCATACCGATGCCTAGCCAGCCATCAAAGACACAGAAATAGGGCTGAAGGAGAAAATGGCTTCGTATCTAGCAGGAGATGCCGACTCGCTCAGACGCCTAAATCCAGAACAAGCGCCAGCGAAAACCCCTCCCTGCATTCTCAACCACTGCTAGCCAGCAAAGCCAAACACGGGAATCCCCAGGCCTTGCCACCGAAAGGAAAGGCAGTTAGGTAGGTAGTTACAGCTCGAAATGGCAGAATCAGACCTGATGCTCCTCCCTCAGGCTTTGCTTGGGTCCACAGCCCTCTCTCAAGCACTCGGATGATCCATCAGCATATACAAACACCACGATGGAATGAATACCAGGACAGCAAGCACACCGAGCCGACAAGAGCAACGGATGACACTCATCATTATTCGTGGGAATCTTGCAGAGCATGGAGGGGAAAGAGATAAAACATCTTCCACTCCCGCATCCATCTCCTCAAGAGCAGACTTGCAAAGCGCGGCTCTTCCTTACTCCGTACACGGGCCTAAAGGAAGGCCGTCGGCCGTACCAGATACACATATCGGAAGCTCCGTATAGTCTCTCTCTCTCTCTCTCTCCTCCCCCCCCGAGCTGAGATCGAAGAGAGCAGGTTGGCTTGGTTAGCTCGTCTCGACAACTCCACTCCGACCGAGCCTCTGGCGGCCCGGCCCGTTCCAGAGTAGCGTGTCGAACGCGCCTGCGAGAGATACCGGTACTACTACCTATGTAAAGCTAGCTACCGCTACTTACCACCATCGCCCTCGCAGTCGGTGGATCCCTTCTCGTAACCACGGTTAGTCCCGAACAAAACGGCCTTGCACCTAACAGTCAGTCAGTTGACTCATACCCAGGCGTGATCTACCTACTCGCTTTGCGGTGACATTTTTCACGGTCCGATAACTCCCATCCAAATAAAACAAAACAAACCAAACCAAACCAAATCAAAATCAAAGTAAACAAACCAGATCAAGGAAAAAAAAAAAAAAAAAAAAACAAAGCCAGCCAGCCAATCAAGCAAGCAAGCAGAGCAGAGTACAATTGACCCATGACACCAACTTCTAGCCCACTGTTAGCGAAACAATATACATGGCTAAACGAACATCGCTTGCATGTACTCGTTGATTAGCAGGGCTCGGTAGAGCAAAGAAACTTGGTATAGAGCGAAAATAAACTGGCTTTGCCGAAGTCTTGGAGGTGGGTTAAAGGGAGAACCATCTCTGCTTTTATTCTGAGGCCGCAAAAGGTCTAGTCAACACGACCATCTGGCCGTCCATAGTTGCGTACTAATACGCAACCCATGCATAATCCTACAAGAGCCCCATCCGACATTCACCTATTCAATCATATCGATGTCATCACCCGTAGTGGCGGCAGCAGCTGGTCCAGGATCTACGTTATCCTTCGATCCTCCACCAAAGTAGTCCTCCATCTCTGCATCGAGCTCCTCCTGAGTTTTCTTGGGCCTTCCATCACGGGCAAGACGCTCTCCACCACCACGAACTGCTCCAGTTCTCTCTCCTCTCTCACGTCTGGCACCGGGTCGTCGACCATCTCTTCTGCGGGGGCGAGGACTGCGGGAGCGGCTGCGAGTACCTCCAGGAACGTAGCGATCTACGTTGCTGGGCGGGGGACGTCTGACATCAGAATGGCGGATTGGAGAATCAGAGCGGGATCTCTTTGGCGCACCCATGCGTTCGAACAGAGAGCGGGACTGTGGTGGGGGTCCTCGCCGACTGGAGGGGCCTGACGGGACTGGGATCAAACGTATGGGCTGTCCTGGGAGGCATTAGATTGTGTGGAAGCCAGTGTGTGTATTGGTCATACCCTTTGCGTTCGCTCCGTCAAACTCCCGGATTGCCTTCTTGGCATCGGATGCGGTTTCGTAGGTGACATATGCGACACCTTCTGAACGGCCAGCACGGTCGTAGGTGAGCGTAAGATTTATGACGGGACCGATGGTGTTGAATAGATCCTGCCCGAGTCAGCGTGTGTCGATAATGTAATCTCCCCGTCGATTCTTACCTCCAAGTCCTCCTCCAACAAATCGTAGTGTAGATTTTCAACCCGAAGCTTAGAAGACACAGCATCACTGGATAGGTCAGCAACTGAATATGAGCAGCAGCCAAGTATTTCATACTAGACAGGGTCCGGCGTGTATCTTCTATCAGGGCGATTTGGTCGGCGTCCGGCTGGGGTGTTCATGAGCGCAAGTCCGCCATAAGAGTGAGGACCTTCATACTATCGTTGTCAAACTTATCGTGAACCCATTCTCTGCACCATATCAGCAAAAAATAGCTCATTCCAGAATGAAGCGGAGGATTACGAGTCAATATTCCTACTATCTTCCCAAGTCGACTGCGTCAAGGAGGAGGCCTGGGTTAGCTGATGTGTTCAAGTATGTACTTCTCTGAGCCAATCCGGGGCACCAAGCATTATGTTCGCGTGCGGAAGCTGAGGAGTATATCGATACGTTTATGTTCATATGTAAGAGGATTGAGGAGGAGAAGGAGGTGTATGCACCTGTGAGTATTTGTTAGCTGTCTTTGAGCTCCACGGGCTGACGAGAGCGTACCTTTCTTACGCCATCACGAGGATAGTCGTTGCGTTCACTGCGTACGTTTCTGGGGCCTCCACGGCGTCCTCCACGGGAACGGCCACCACCTCTCTACGCTGTATTAGCTGGAGCCTGGTCATAGGCGGCCTTTGCGCGCGCAAAAGGCTGAGTGAGGTATTCCGAGTCTTACCTGGCGTTCGGCGACGATCTCATCGAGTGCGCGATCCATTGTGCGGGTTTTCCAAGTTGAATTGAAGTTGAGGATGAAATCAAGGTTGCTATTCGCGTTGTTTGTCCAGAGGTCTTGACTTCTTCTGACCACGCGAGCGAGCTAGAGACGCCAATACCTAGGCTTATCACGTGACATCCAGCCATATAAATCACGAAGCTAACGAAAATTGAGCATGTACAATGGAGAAATTATTCACATCGAAAGTTATAGAATACGATAGCTCGTCCGATATATCATTTCTGCTGATAGCCTCCTACTTTTTTGAAGTTTCCTTACACTATCGTACAATATATAGTTTTATAAATTATGTATGTCTGTCCTTGAGAAGCTCAAATACATCTACGAATGACCACATTGAGCATACTAGACGTTTAACTACGTACTTTCGATACAAACCTCTACGTGGCGCGTTTGTTGAAAGCCCAATATGAAGGGTCGTTGCAGAGGTTACAACAGCATCAGGCATTCCGCCTTCCCTCCCATGTTTTCGTCATCCTTGTATTATTTCAATGATCCTCTAAGAAGGGCGTCCTGGGTCTTTCTCCGCCCCGGAACGTGCAGCTTTGGCTATTGAAAACCCCTCGCTGTGGGTCTGGGTTGACTTGTTCGTGACCCTTTCCCGCTCCAAAGGGTAGAGAGGTGTATGTGAAAGCCTTTCTCATACCGCGACTCTTCGGATTGGTATGGGACCTGGCCCTGAATCGATCCGTCGTTGAACTGCTGTTCCGGCAAAGTCCATACGCAGGTACGAATAAGGAAGGTCGATTTTCGTAAAGTGCTCACCCAGGCCCGGGCCAACTGACGCATCTTGTGCTAGAGCGGCATTCACATTCCTGGAGCCGTGATGGATAAACAAGCCCGACTCCGAGACGAATCCGAACTGCCCGAGCCTGAGATCGTAAAGTTGTTTTCCTTCCGGAACATTGGCAAATGGTTGGGCAGAAGTAATGTCATCCACGGTGCTGGGAACACTTCCAAAAATAATGCTACTTCGCGTCGCAGGGCCGTTTGAGAATTCTTGAGTGGATTGAGGGCGGCTAGGATGAGCGGCAAAGAACTGGACGAATGAACCCTCTTGAGCGACGTTTCCAAGGGCTGAAGCTTGCTGCTCTTCCATACTTCCATAGGAGAAGTCAAATCGGGCCTCAGGGATCTCGTCATACGTCTTCTGGGGATCAAGAGAGAGCAGGCCTTGCTTTGCTCCCCAGCCACCACCTCCACTTACTAGTCTGTATGAGTAACACGACACGAGAAGGAGCAATGCGATAGATACTCACAAACACGACAAAACGTAGCGCCTTTGCTGATCCAGTACGCTACATAGCCAAAGTGTGTCGCATCGGCATCCGAGTCGGGTTTCCATCTTGCCTTTACGGAATCCCACTCCACCAGCAGGCTCGAGGAATTCGGGTCATGTTTCGCCTTTTCAGGAATGACCAGGGCCCATACACCAATATGTGTTGGTTCTTTTTTGAACACCTCCAAGAATTCTGTGACGGTGGGCTCCAACTCTTGAGAAGCTGGCCCAACTTTTTCCTCGATGCCATTGCAAAAGTCGAGCGTGCGCACAATGTTACCGAGTCCATTCTTGATTTGCCGAGCAGGGGTCAAAGGGATCGCAGGGATGTAAACCTCGGGCAAGCTCCCCATCAGATGATGGTATAGCTTGACATTTACGTTGGTTCTTTCATGCGATTTGCAGCATTTGAAGTCATCATCCTGTGTGCCGAGTCTCCATTCTGATACATTCAGCATGGATCGTCGGCCGGTTTTGAAGAGAGTGTTGGCAAGTGGTAAGGTGACCTGCGGTAGATCATCCGGATCTGGGCGAAAAGTGATGCTGGATTGTATCGAGGGGCTTGTCGGGCTGTCTGATAACAAGCGGTGAGCGTCTGATGCCCAGAGAGGCGAAAGTGTATCCGCCAACGGGCCATGCAGTACCGAGAATCCTTCTTGTGAGATCCGGTCTCTAGCGCATGATATCATCTCTGGAGCTGTTCAAAATTTGATGTCAGTTTCAATTTCAAGACAAAGTGAGGAGCATACAAGCAGTCGAAACAGAGAGTGTTGCAGGCTAGTCATAATGAATCTGGGAGAGACTTACGTGGAGATATGCCATCAACGCATGCCACGACTATGTGAGTGTAAAGGGCTTTTGCCCGTTTCGGCGAGACTTGCTGATTCATAGTCTGCACAATATCCCCGACCAGTGATGCATCGTTTTGAAGCATAGTAGCAAAGCTGGGAGTGAAAAGGAACACGATGGCTTGGGGTTCAGCAAAGCCTTCCCATGTGACCCGCTGGTCTGGAGAAAGCTGGAATTTCTTCACAGCGGCCAGTACATCTTCTCTCGCCTAGGCTGGTTCAGTTAAAATTTGGTAAAGAAGAAGCGGATGTGACCTACCACAAGCTCGGGGTGATCACATCGGATTGTCAATAGGCGCTGGACGGGATTGATGGGCTTGTTGACGCAATCTGGAGCTGCGTGTCGGGTGAGAGACTGGCCGTTCCGCATTTTCAATGTTTTCCGCTCAAGATACTCATTACTGTGCTTTTCCGTTAAACTTGTCGAGGATCCTGCTTCTTTGTCCACCAGTTCTGAGGCTCCATCTTCTACCACAGAGGAGGGTACCGAGCCATTCCAGCTCGGCGGCGGTGGGCTCTCTTCCTCTCGTACCGGTGGCTTCTCTTCATGCACCATATGCATCTCCGCGGCGCCCTCTTCCACCGCACCGCTGGCAGCAGAATACTCGCCACCCTTCGACTCAGAGTGCATCCATCTCAAGGCTGGCCTGGAACTGGATCTGGACCTGGAAACCTTCACGTGTCGTGACACTGATATTGCATGATGATTCAGACCTGCGGCTCGTCGCGTCAACGTGACCAGGCGAAACAGATTTCTGTTCATGTTCGTCCCTCGGTGGGTGCTATCTATGTTTGAATCATGGTGTGGGGGGTAGGCCGAAGCATCATCTTATTGGTACAGCTGGTGCTTTCGTGTTCATGGCCGTCCGCATTTCTCCCTTCATCAAATTTGGAGGAGATTCGGTAGTGAGCTTATGTAAGCAAGCTTAACTCTTGGCAGCACCTAATTATGACTGACTGCGCATTTCGTCTCGTTATTCCACAAATACCTACGGAGTACGCATCACATTTGTTTCACCTCACTGGTGTTTCATTATGCGAAACTTATTCAGTCACTACAGGTACATGAAATACGGTCGTTGTGCTTTGCTAGAGGAGTGTCGTTGCCTCTTCAACCCTGTTTACCAATTACCCCGTGGGTACCTAGGTACTGTGCCTTGTGATATGAAGTGTCACCGGCAGTTCTTCGTTTTTTATACTTTGAAGGAGTCCAACTAAAGTTGAGCAAGCTTTAAACTTCCCTGGTTGGTCCAGTGATAATCCTCTACGTACATGGGCGAGGGCGAGGGCGAGAGCGAGAGCGAGGGCGAGGGCGGCCCTGAGATGAATGCAAGAAGAGCAAGGAGGAATTAGGGTTGATCCTGCACCTGGATGACGAGGGCAATTTCTACGCGAGATGATGGATTCCGCTGAATTCGGTAGCCCTGCGTTATGTTCCTTACTCGGGCAGATTGCGGTCCAGGGACCCCTTTCTTGTCATCGTTCGTAAGATGTACCGGTACCGTACGGAGATCCAACTTCCAATTTTCTTGTCTGTCCTTGTCGTCGTCCCCTTCCTGGAATCCTTGACATGACAGATGGCGGCAGTTTATTTGATTCTCATTTGGAAGTAGCGTTCCCGCGTTGGCCCGTGGACCGCGGATTCATACATACCGAGTACATACAGAGTACAGCACTCACTCTGTACTCTGCTGTACTCTGGACTGTTGCTTGCTTATACTTGCTTGCTTGCGCGCTGGCGGGCTTGGCTAGCTGCCGATCGGGGAAAGCAGATGGGCCACCGCTCTGACAAGTCATCGCTGTATTGAGTTAAGATCATCATGTCGTTCCTGCAGCCTCATGCTGCCGAACCGAAAAGCACTGGGAGCACTTGGAGCACTTGGAGCAAGCACTTCATCAGCTTCCACCCATTGATTTGCGGCACTTCCGGATCACGTGTATGTTTTGTTTTTTATTGTTTTGGAGAGGCGCCTTTAGCGACTGCTTCCACAGCCAAATCCCATCCTCTTATTGATTATTGACGGCGGAGGAAACGAAGTATTGATGGTGTTGATAGAGCAGTAAGGATCTTTGTGACGTAAGAAGGCAGAATTTCCATTCCCCTAACTTGTTTTGACTTTCCCATCCATGCGTTGCGTCGATGGTTGGAAGTAGTAATACTACGTAGGAGTACCGGTAGAGTTGTAGTGGTTGTACTATAGTACTTGGGCCAGCAGCGCCCAGCGCCCAGCGCCCAGCGCCGAGCAGGCAGGGCAGGCTTCGATGCGACACTGACTGTGGCTGTGGCTACCAGGATCAGCATGGAATCGTTGTGGGCCCATCCTCAGTCAAAAAACTGAACTTTGAAGTGGTACAACTAGGTATATTTCCGATATTCAATTCTTTTCGCTGGCGCTGGGAGATGAAGGGTCTGTCCGTACGAGGAAGTGAATTTTTCCAACTAGGAGTACTCCGTATGTTTATTTTTCATTATCTGCTTGCTTGAGCGAAGGCGAGACTCCTCCGGCATAAGCGAGCGCGTATAATTGATTGAATTACACAACCGCCAAGTCGTCTCGTCTGGATCTGTGTCTTACCTCCGCGACCAGAAGATGAGCTTTGGGCACCGGCTGCGGGGAATATCATGTATCAGACGATCGGATGTCCTTAGCAGAGGTTCTTAACACGCTTCGTCGTCTTTCGGACCTGAAAGGCTGATGCTGGGTGGTAGTTAGAGGTGGCAACAACAGCCACTAGTGAATGGATCGAACAATAGATACGGTAGGTAGACGGGTAGATAGGTAAGGACATCTGATAGTCCGTACACAGTAGGTAGATGCGGCATCATTCATCAGGCATGCAAGGACGGGTCGTGTGCTCTTGCGGTGAAGGTCCGTCGTCCGTATCCATCGCCCGTATACCTTAATAGCCAGTGAAAGGCTACCGGCTGCCGCCGTGCGACCAAGGAAGAGCGCTGTACCGGTAGTGCTGCTCAAGTTCCTGGTGGGTGCTCGTACGGAGCTCCTACAGACTTCAGAAGTATGCTCGAGTTCCGGATGTATGTAGTAGTAATACAACTAAGTACTGTAGTAGGTACGTAGTATGAGTAGGAAGTACTTACTTACTACACACCTAGGTAGCTCCTGAATCTGCGGCCAAGATAGCCTGCAGCAGCGCAAGACGTCCGAGAGTCGTAAATCGTAACCAACTCTCCTGCCTGTCCGTAGAATATTGCAGATGGGAAGATCTCCCTAAGGACCTAAGTTTCGTTTCAAGTCGTTCTTTTCTAGAATTCTCCAAGAAGCACGACAGCGGAAGAGGTCATGGGATTTCTGGTGAATTTGGTTCACGAAGAGCTGTCGAGGTGAAGAGGTGAAAAGGTGATCTCCCTGCTCCGGTCGGGGAGGGCGTGCAAAACCTAGCCTAGCCTAGCCTAGCCTGGTCCACCTATAGCTCCACCTATAGCTCCACCTGTTGGCTCCACCTAAAGCTCCACTCCCAGCCGCTTCGAGTTAGCTCCGAGCAGCGATTTACGAGAGTCACTAAATCTCAAATCCCTCTTCAGATCCAGTCTGCCCGCCTTCTCTCATACCACATACGGAGACCTGCGATCTATTATCAACGTCGACGACGGCGGGCAGGATCAGCATCACCATCAACTCCCGCCTGACCCTCCTGATCGGTGCATCTCTATCTGCATTCCTCCAACGGAATTGCTCTGTCTGGTCTTCTGGACTGTCCGCTCCTTACCACACTCACCCACACTCCTTTGACTTCATCCCAACTCGATTTTTCCAACAACGCCAGAGAACCTCGGCCAGTACGATTTGATCAAGGCTTTCTTGACACATCGGGAGAAACTCTCGGCAGTACGTCAGAATCGTCAGAAACATTGACACAGACATCATCAACGTCAGTCCCCCTGCTCTACAAGACACAGTTGGCGAATCTGTCAGCGCTGACGGTTGGACTTCAGTTTTGACCACCCTCCTCGTCCAGAGAAACAATCGCCCGAATCGACAGTCGAAATCGAAGTCCACGTCCCGACAACAAGATATTGAGGGGATTGAGTGATCGAGTCTTTATGCTCGCATCTTAATTGGGCGTCGACACCGGCCGCCGTGCGGCAGGGACTCAATGGCGGCTGCGACATCTCCCGGTACAATGTCGTTCAATGGATTGGACCTATCCAACGCCTCCTTCAGCCCCACAGCAATTGATAATCTTTCAAAGCCTTCAATATCCCCTCGACTCAGCAGTCCCGGGCCTCTCCCGCTACCCAGCTTCGTCTTCCCGGCTCCGCTACCACAGCCCTCTGGCTCAAGATCAGCACCAGCCTCCTTCTCCAGAGCCTCGGGTCGGCGACCACTGAGTGCCATTGAGACCCGAAGTCAATCAAAGGAATGGACAGCTGGCAATGGCGAACCCTCACCATCGCCAGAATCACCGTGGGCATTGCCAAGAACCATTCCACCAAGACCAAGCAGCACGCACCAACGAAACGTCTCCGAGTTTATAGGCCGTGATGGTCTGAATGGAGTCGGAGGTGGGTTGATGTCGACAAGCCCTACAAAGTCCGAAGGAGCCCTCCCCAACTCTCCTACTACACTTGGGCCCCCTGGAGGCCGTCGAGGACACGCCCACAGAAGATCAGCAGCTATCAGCGTGAGCGACTTGGCATTTATTCTCAAGCCTAATGTCACCAATACTCGAGGTGGGAGTGCTCCTACATCGCCTTCGGCGATGCGTGAGCGCCACCCTAACATGCCCTCTCTCGATGCTGCAATCCAGCCTGCGAAATCATTGAACGATCTGGCAGATCCGGAACTCAGCCCCAAGACACCCAAAAGCCGAGTTGGATTTTCTGACGAAGTTTCGATTATCCCTAGACCACTGTCCATGGTCTCCAGCGATTCTTCCAGCACAGTTCGCCATGGACATTCGGTCTCTAATTCAATGTCCTCGATCGTTTCGGGGCCATCCTCGCCATCCTCGAAGGATATACGTAATACTTTGTCATCGACGCACAGAACGGTTGACGCTCGGCCTCGCACTGCAGAACCCATCTTAGACAGAGAACAGTTAGAAGGCATCAACGGACGAGGCTCGCTCACTCTTCTGGAAGATGTTGCGGCTGCATCAACCCCCTCAACCCCAAGATCTGCGAAGAAATGGCAATTTTTCGGCAATGAGAATGCTTCTGGCGAATCATCTCCCAAGTCTCGCCCAGCCAGCGCTGCCTCGTCCGCAAAGGAGTCTAAAAAGGCTGAAACTGCTCCATCTTCTCCTGACTTGACGTCTCCAGCGAACCCAGTCGACTCGATGGAGCCACGCGCCAGCTCCCGAAGGTCCTCTATATCTAAAAAGCCGAGCAAGAACAAGAAAAAGGTTAAATCCTGGGCTGGATCAATCCTCTCGCGCAAATCTCGACAGCGGAAACCCAAGCTTTCCCGCCGCTCACCTACTCCACCCCTGAGAGCATACACACCACCAGTCGGTCAAACGAACCACTTCAACTTCAATGAATCTGAGCACTCGGTACTCGAGAAACCGGGTACTCAAGCGGATTTCACCAACTGGAAGCCACGCGAGCTGCCACTTCAAGAAGAAATTCTAAGTCCCATTATCGATCTGGATGCCGCCCTTGGTCCTTTCAATACTCCATCGAGTTTCGGTGATGACTGGACTAAGTCTCAGCAAAATGGAAAGAAGAAGCGGGCTATGCACAGTGCGGCGGGACTGGCTGGCTTCACAGGACCCGGAATGCATTATCACAGACGGACCGAAAGTGCCCCCGAATTTGAGAACGCTCGATTTGGTCTCCATAGACTAGGAAGCAACTCGAAAATGGCTATGGAAGACGTCTTCGAAGAGGATGAAGATGAGGAGTGGGAAGATGCCAAAGCCGCCTCTGACAAGGAAACAAGCAGCAGGGCAAGCGATGCCGAAGATGTTCACTCTGGTCTCTGTATCGATATCAAGGTTGTGGACTCGGATGGTATGGATTCTGAGACGCCAACGGACTTTGACGATGCTACATTTCAGCGCGCATTGAAGCGAAAATGCTCTAGTTTGAGTGAGGGGGACCGCCGTAACATGAGCTCGACCAAGTCAGCACACTCGACCACTTCTCTGATCGATGAGCCAATTGAGGAGGAATGCATTCCCGTGGAGATAGCCGATGATTCTGTTCCACCGAGGCCTGACTCGAGAGCCCAATCCTCGGACTCGACTGTTACCCCCCCATTCCGACCTAGACTACCCAAAGAACTTCCTCCTGTCGATATACAACCATACTCTCTCCAAGCACCGTACCCTACTCCAACCAGCCCCATCTCTTCTAGTCAAGCGTCTTTCCCATCGCCACGCTCTCCACTATCGTACGATACGCAGCGCATTTCAACCGCCCCGTCCTCTTTCAATGATGAGACCGCTTTCCAGTCGCTGCTGATGGGGGAGCCAGGCCCTGAATTGCGAATGTCAGTTGATGACGTACCTTCTTTGTCGAGCAGCAACTCTACCATGACGAGAGACAACAGTGGCATTAACACTGGTATTTACTCTCAGCTTCGAGAAGGACATCGTTCTGCTTCTGTTTCCTCGGCAGCGATCAATCGCAAACGATCTAGTCTGGCCAGCTTGTCACGGCTCATCAGTAGCTCCCACGGCGAGAAGAGCAAGCTTTCAATCGAGTCCAGACCCCAAAGTGCAATTGAAGGAGAGAAGAAGGAGAAGACGAGCAAAGGGAAGCGAATTGGTCGTATGATGCAATTCTGGAAGCCAAAGGACTCTAGCGCCCCAGCATCCTAATCTGGCTTCTCTTGCCTTTCGAACTCATGCCTTTGATGCTCGAAGAGCAGAATGTTTGATAGATGATGGACATCGGAATTTTTTGTGCATATTTCACTTATAGGGCCTCGTCGACTCGACTTGGTTCCGCATCTCTTCTTTGGTCTACTTGCTCGGCACTTTCAGCGGATCTTCAGCATAAACATTAGTTGCGGCACCTCATCCCTTGACAACGGGCACAACACATCCTTCACGCAAGGGTGGATTGTGGCTTTCTCCCAACTTGGATTCCTAGACTGGGGCTGATGTTCCTCGAGGCTTTGACGCGCGTCTTTTAATGGGTGGTTGGGTTTTTGCATGGAAATGGAGAAGACATACAGCGCGTTGTTTTTAGCTTTTATTTTCATTTCTTGCGAGCTTTCGCTCTCTGGAATATATTTGCTCTGACCCTGGGCATCGGGAAGGAAGAGCACATATTACGATTCGATACTATGGACGAGATGATAGGGAACGGGATGGATGGGCTATAGTGCAACCTGCTTTCGTGTGGGGAGAGAAAGCAGATATGGATAATGCGGTAGCTCGAGGCGCTCGCACTCTGCCGATGCGAGACTTAATGAATATAACTTAGAATATGACCCGACTTTTCTTTCCAAAGGCAGATGTGATCCCACCACTGACGACGTTGGGGCGAGTCAAATTGGACTGCCTCTAGCTCACAAGTTGGGAGGGGGAGAAAGATTTAACCTGAGCTAGGTACGACTGACTACCCAGAGATAATCAAGATTCTACTTATCGTCATGACTTGGGACTCAAAAGTATTGCAAATGGAATCGGTTCTGCTCGGAAAATTGTTTCCCCGCTTGCCGCATCAGATTCCGCCTCGGCCTGAGCAGGCTTGAAAGCTCCCGAGCTCTCATCTCAAGCCTTAAGACATACATCAACGAGCACTTTTCAAGAGGCAGCGACGAAAAGGCGCAATCTACATCGCCACCAAGAATCACCATTCGCATCGGCTTAAGATCGAACTCTTTTCACACCAAAAAAATACGACCCCTGCGCAGCAAGCCAGCAATAACAAAACAACAACAACAACAACGACCACAGCGATAACAACAGCACCCAAAAATGTCCACAGCCTCTTCGTCCACCTCCTCCTCGCGCACACCCACCAAACGCCTCCTCACCGAACTCTCCGCCTTCGCCGCCACCCCGCCCTCCAGCCACCCGTTCATCGCCTCGCTCGCGCCCTCGCCCAGCTCCCTACTCTCCCTGCGCGCCATCCTCGTCGGGGCGCCGCTCCCGGCGTCCTCGGGCTACCGCGCGGGCCGCTGGCTCCTGCACGTCGCCATCCCGCCGACGTACCCGGTGGCGCCGCCGGCCATCACCTTCGTGACGCCCGTGTGCCACCCGAACGTCAAGTGGGAGACGGGCGAGGTCTGCCTGGACGTGCTGGGCGCGAACTGGACCCCCGTCCTCGGCGTTGTGGGCGCCCTCGAGTGCGTCGGCCGGCTGCTGGCTGAGCCGGGCGTGGAGAGCCCGTTGGGCGTGGAGGTCGCGGCTTTGTTGAGGGGGGGGGATCGCGTGGGTGCGAGGGCGTTGGTGGGGTTTTGGTGTGCGGAGGAGAGGTGGGAGGGGGGGTTGGGGTGGGAAGGGGAGGGAGACGGGGACAGGGACGCGGAGGATGCGAGAGGAGAGGAGGTGGGGAGGAGAGGGGAGAGGAGTTAGAGATGGGAGAGGTTGGAGACAAGGTGGAGGATTTGATGGCGGAAGAAGCTTCGGGGCTTGGAGGGGATGCTATCGACGAGAATTTGCGGATGAAACGAAGGAAACGATGAATCGGATGGACTGGGTATATGAAAGATGAATTGCACATATGGAACGCTCGCGTGGGGGTGGTGGCATTTGCATTTCAACGGAGATTGGAAATTGGTAGCTTCTTCTCTCTGGCCGCACAAGAAAAAAAGAAAAAGCGGCTTCGCGAACCGATTTTTGGGAATAAGCTCTTGTTATGCGCTTGCAGCATGAGAATAAATACATGGGACATTTCTCGATGATATCAGTTGATCGGGAAATCATGTGTAGTTAGTTATGAGACACAGGAGGTCGGTCACGCAGTTACTACATGCGTACACCAAGCCAGCGTCGCGCTCTACCAGCAGACTCCACACGCTTCAACTCAGGCAGGATTACCGCCGCCGGTATATAAGTCCATCAAACATCCAGACATTGTCTATGGTATACATACATACACATAAAAGCCCAGTTCTCGTCTCCCTATGACGAGAACCAAGCCCCAAGCCCAAGGCCGCAACGGTGATGCCATGCCACAAACGCCGTTTACACACATAAGCAAACAAGCACCTGTCCGTCCGATTCGCGCGTTATTACCTGCCCAAATCTGCTCGCTTGCTAGCGTATCCTGCAACGCTTTCTTGTTGCCGTCCTATATCCAGCCAATGGAAGCATGTGTGCTCCTTCTACCCCTTTCCGCAAAATCAATATCTCTCGAATCGTGGTCGCCGTGCTGAAATATCTTTCATGAAGTTGAGAGTGGACTGTGCCGGACGGCTCACTCGTTGTAATGGTACACCTGGGAATCTTGGTTAGCACAGAATTTGCGACAAGATGTACAGGAGAGTAAGAGCTTACCTTGTAATTCGGTAAGCCTGTAGCGCCCCATCCCAGTCGTTTCGCCATTTTTGCGAATCCTTCCGTCTCGATGAGGTGGTAGAATGCGAAAGGTGGGAACATGGCTCCGTCGCGGTGAACCTCCGCCTTGACCAACAGCGCCGTGCCCCCAACACCGTCTAGATCAATCTCCTGGTTGGGGTCTCCTCCGTCCTCAGCCATATACGCCATCAAAGTCCGGTAGGTAGCCATGGAAGCGTAACCCTCGAGTAGAATATCATCTGGTCCTAATGTATCTCCCAGCTTGCGCGCAATCTCGCTGTCCTGCCAGCTGTTGAAATCGTAGGGGCGCTCGGAAGCTTTCTTAGTCTTCGAGTCGACAAAGCGCTGGAAGCAGTTGGGGACGATGATAGGCTTATCGTGGGCAGCGAGATCTTGGATCAATGTAGGTGGGGTTTCAATCACATCTGCATCCAGCCAGAGGACCCAGGATGTGGAAGGGCCAAGGGTGGTGAAGAGAAGAGAGTTTCTGGCTCTGGACATTGCTGCTCGTCTAACCTTCTGGTTCTCCATCTTGTGACGCTCGGCTTCAGTTTGGGACTGTAGAGGAGGGTCGAAGTCCTGTCGCTCGATAATGATGCTTGCAAATCGCTGGCTGATGGGTCCTGACTTCTGGGTATGGGTGATTTGTGTTTGGAGTTGAGTAGTCGCCGCATTTCCTTCCCTGCTCTTGGGTATGATAAAGGCCAATGTGATCAGCTCATGTGGGTAGTCCAGGCGCATCAGATTGTCCCAGTACTCTTGGTAGAACTTCGCCAGGGGTGTGAGGATGAGAATGGTCTCCCTGTTGGCCAATGGATTGCTCGAGCTGGTAACGTTGTTCATGTGGTAGTGCACAACTGGAGGTGGTATCCGCTTGCCGCTCGAGGACTTCTCATTCTGCTTTCGGAAAGGGGATGTGGGTGGAGAAAGGGGATTCGAGGCCGCGCTGGCTGTTCGACTCTTTGCCGACGCTGAATCGCTACTCGATGGCGAGAACAGGAAGACAAAGATGAATATGAGCAGGGCCACGCCGATGACCCAGGTGATTGGACTCCTCCGCCCTAAACGCGTTGACCCCATGATTGCGTTGAGATTCCGGGATCCTCACTTGTGCGGTTTGCCCTTAAAATGGCCTATGTGGACTGTCCTCAGCGATCACAATCCGTGTCCGGCGGTCGCTGGTCAAAGGAATGTGGTGGCCGTAGCAGTCGTCGTCCCCGGTGGAGCGAGTTTGGTGAGACTGCGCCGTCAGGATTGGTACAGACAGGTACAGGTTTGTAAGTGTTGATGCACTGTTGTCTGTGAAGAAAAAAGGAGGTACCCACCCAACCCATGCCATGCTCAAGCCTTGAAATGAGAAAGGCGGCTCTTCGGATAAAAGTGCAACCAGCCCGAATGTGGTGGGCTTAATGCTTAATATATCATCTACCATGGGACGAAAAACTCTAAGCTTCTTAAGCATCGTAGATAGTATCAATCATACTTAGTACTTGTAGATTCCCAAGTGGCTAAACGGCTTCTTTCCTTCTTTCCTGATCTCGGGGAATGTGAGGACTGGAAAGGAGCTATGTACCTATAGCTAGCGGAAGAAAGGTTGGCTTGGACAACGTCTATTTATTGTATTGTCGTGTCAACAAGCAAGCAAGCATAACCTAGTCTACTGTATCCCTCGAGTATCCACAAACATGTTCCCCATGTCCTACCGGGTCCAGATTGCATTGTTACACAGAAAAAGAGGCCATCTCGATCTGTTTGGCTTCCGTGAGCGATTGATATCCGTCTAGTGCCTATCTATCGGTAGTATGAGTATCATTGCAGAGGTCCGGATCGTACGGACATGGACATATTACAGTCTGATCACTCGGAATGATCGTCTTCTTGGCCCCTTATCCACCTCTTGGTTCAATTTCCCGTAGCAAGTCTATCCTTTCGGTCCGTTTCTCGAGGTGTTTCCACGGCAGCGTGCCTTAGTCAGGTGATTGTGTATCGCTGCGGATGTTCAGATCAGAATTGAATCCGCTGGTGTCACGGAGATTAGTGTTCCAGGGGGGGGTTTTCGTGTTTTCGTGGTCATGGTCGTGGTCGTGGTACTTGTAACTGTTGACGGCGGCGATACCGAGGGATCAAACGCTGACGGACCCAAGTTCGTCCTGACTCCTGAATCCCCCAACTCGGGGCTGGCGGAGATCAGCCGCTATGCCATGTATTTATTATTAACTCGTCCCGTTGCTGGCGAGCTGGAACATATCGACGCATAATTGTTACACGACGTAGTCAATTCGGTATCAGGGGATGACAGCAAACAAAGGCCCTGATCAATAAGCAGTAAATAATGCGATGCGCATGAAAGAAATGGAAATGAGAAAGAAGTGAAGTGAAATCGGTCGGGGATTCACCCGTTATCCCGTAAACGGTAGAAGTAGGACTCGGGGAAGTTCTTTGTTTGTTCTTGATCTTGACCGCGTTACACCCGGATACCGACCTGACGGATCGATCGATGTGTTTTGGTTTCGAGTCCTTTGAATTCCTCGAATCCTCTGAATGAACTACGGAGAGCCAGAACCTACTTGTATTCCGTACACTTGTGACTTGACTGCCTACTGCTCTGTCAAGCGAGGCTGAAAGTAAGTGCTGAGTTACTTAACTAGTGGGTAGCCAGCCAGGACATCCCTTCTCCATCACCTTCACCCTCACCTTCACCCTCACCTTCACCTTCACCTTCACCTTCACCTTCACCTTCACCTTCACCTTCACCTTCACCGTCGCCTTCACCGTCACCTTCGCCTTCCTCAACTTCTCCCGAACTTCGAACTTCGAACTTCGACCTTCGACCTTCGACCTTCGACCTTCGACCGTCGACCTGCGAACCTTCGAGCCTTCCAGCTCTCACTGCTACAATCCTACGCCTATCCTCCACATCTCGCATCCCAACATCCCAACATCCCACATCCCATACCTACATTGCACCTATCGAGCTGGAGCATGGCTTCTGGCATTGCTCCTTGGCTTTCGTAAATAACTGCGCGCTGGCCTGGCTAAACGCCGAGTCCTACGCGTGGACGCCTGGCTGGGAAGAACCCTGGGACCTGCTTTCACCCCCTTCAAAGCAACCCGGCCTGCATCACGACCACGGAAACACTAAACTGCCTAAATAAACGGACACGCCGCGCCGTGCTCAAGCACCCCGGGATTGCCTTGCATTCTACCTACACCGTCATCTCGAGCCCAAACACCACAACGTGGTCAACATCCTGCAGCTGGAGGCGCTGAAGGAGAAACCCGGCCACCATGGAACCGGTGCCCGAGACAGAGAGGATGGAAGAGTTTAAGACGGCTGCAGTTCCTACTCTACGGATTCTGGAAACGAACGACACCTGTCAGAACGATCTGAGTAGCAGAGACAGGAAACCTCCCACCATTCGTCGATCTACGGAGCCAACTCCTTCCTCACCCCGTTCCCCGATCACCACTCCCTCTCCATCTATACCATATCGATCTCGAAATACCTCGCCCTTCTCTCGAGGCCACCTCCGCTCCAAGTCGTCGACCATGGTGCCTACCATGTCGCGGACCCAATCTCTGCCAGGGTTCAACGCCGCCGGTCATCTACTGGCCTCGCCGCACATCCGCCCCTCGAGTCCTATGGGCTCGCCCAACCGGGTTCGAGCACCTCGAAAACCAGTCGATGATGTGTTCCCAGGCCTGCCGAAACGGCTTTCGAGGGAGGTATTGAGAGACATCAGCGAGACGGGAGACGTATCCGAGGAACACACTCCTAGAGCTACGGAGTGGGGCAGCTCCCCTGTTATCGGTCTACCACCCGCTGCGGGCTTTAGAGCTCGAAGGCCCTCCTCTCCTTTACGACATCTGGCCCAGCAAAACGCTATTGCTGCCAGTACTGCCCCATCCACACCATCATCAGTCAATTCCTCACCCTCATACCCGTCTTACCGCTTCAATGATTCATTTCTGGGCACCAGCAGCTACACAAGCACATTCAGCTATCCTGGATCATACGGATCCTCTTCCGTGCCATCCACACCCACTTCTACTCGGTCCCGAAGTCCCAGTATCTCCAGCTTGGAGACCATACCTGATACTCCCGATGCGGAGGAGGCTGCTCTGGAGGCTGAGCGGATGGCACAATTGAAGGCAGCAGCAGATGCGGCGGACGGAGAGGAGTCCAAGACAAAATCAGATACTGCTGGTTCTCGTGGAAGAACGCTGGGAACTACCTTTGGCCGCGATAAGAGGAAGCGGTGGAGTGTGTGTGGTGCCGAGAGACGAGGTGATCTGAATCTGGATACGATCTGGGAAGACTGAATTCAAGGATATTTTGGAAGAAAACGACCCGCCCTCCCCGCTTTAAGAGATGCTGCAGAGGATGGCCGATCTGGAGGGAGTCCAGGCTTCTGGCGGTGACTTCATAGTCAGGCGTGGTTCGTACTGAGAGAAATGTGCTAGCGATGTGCTGCGCATGCTCTTATCTAGAGCTTGTATTTTTGGGGGAGTGGAATTTCTGGAGGCGGACATCAATCATGCACCGCACACTGCAATTACGTTTCTCCTTGCTCATTCTGAGTTCGATACCCCATATGCCAGTCGTTCGCGGGCTGGCATTCAACGAGCGGAGTTTTGAAGGGGGATTTGCATTGCTTTTCGTTGAAGACGGTCCTTTGATTCATAACGAAACTGTAAATAGAGAAATGAATCAAGTAATCCTTCGATAGGTACACTGACCAGGCGGTTTTTTGATCATGTCTTGCAAGTACCGAGACAATAGAAATGGTTAAAGGGACGTTGTATTTATCTTTTTTGGCTGAGTCGGGGGAGGGAGGCTCTAAGCGAGTAAACATCCTTTGGCTGATCGTGTCTTCAATCTCCCCTCGCCTCATGGCAATGCTGTCGATATTCAACTCCTGGCTCTGGCAATCTTAGTGCTATAAAAAACGACTTTGCTTTGAGCATGCTATTCCTTGGGCATATCTCGAAAGCACTCCATCCAGGAACCTTACGCTCGTTTAACCCTCGACAATTTGCATCCTACTTTACCCACCACTCCTTCAACATGCAGTTCGTCACTGTCCTCAGCGTCGCGGCGCTCATCAACACGGCTGTAGCTCTTCAGCCTCTTGCTCCAGAATTGATGAAGAAATATCCTGTGAACCCCTTCAAACTTATGCCTCAGATTGGTTGCTGACTCTTTGCCGCAAAGGCATGGCCGTTGGTGGAGCTGGAGACATCACAACCATCACCATACCCACACCGGCTCTGGCCCTTCTTGGACCGAGTCACCTGTAGTAGCCACGTCTGCTATCGCAGATCCTGAGAATTTGGCCATCTCGGTTGCTTCTTCTGTCCGATCGACTGTTTCGTCTATCTACACTTTCCCCAACTCTACGTCCTCCGCGAGCTCAACGGCCTACCCAACGGCATCCTCATCATCCAGCTCCCTCTTCCTAACGCAACCGCAAACTCTACCAGGGTCAGACCAACGGCCTACTCGCCATCTAGCTCTTTCGGCTGCTCAACCACAACGTCAATTAGGTCAGTATCTATCTACCCTCATCCATCTCGACGCCTTGGACTCGGCATCACGTTCTGGCAGCCGCCCTTCTATTCCATTCCCACTCACTGCTCGTCTGAAAGGGTGTGAGGCTAACACTAACACGCCCGAAGCACCCTCACCATAACCGAAGGCATCACCTACACCTTGTTCCTCCCAACCCCCAGCTCCACAAACCACACCTGGACCAACACCGCCTCCTCCGTCCCGTATCTACCCTCACCCCCCTTCCCCCCCACTAACGCCACAGCCCTCACGAACCGCACCACCTTCACGCTCATCCCGTTCCCTAGCTACGGCAGCTCCCTCTCCACCACCCTCACATCGCTGGCCACTACAACCAGCTCGTCCTCCCTCGCGGTCGACACCGGAACGTCATCCAGCACCCTAGAGGCTCTCTCGATCCCGCTTTCCGCAGACCCGATCTTCTCTGGTTCGCCGAGTGCGGTCCTGCATCCAGTCACGACCGTTTCACAGACTACGACGGTGACGGGGGGCCAGGCGACGGGAGCCCCCGACCCAGCGGCCTTGCACTGCGGCATCCACAGGCTGCCGAATGGGGCCTACAAGATGGCCGAGTACTGGGAGGAGACACGGGGCGTCTGGGTTACGCTGTTGGGGTGCTTTGAGGTTTGCGAGGTATCGTTTCTGTTTCCCCCTTCTCACTCTCTCTCTCTCACTCTCTCTTCCTCTCCCCTCCTATCATCCCTTTTCTCCAGCTCCTCATTGCCTTTTCCGAATCCCCTGCTTCGTTTTATGTGTGTGTGTGTGTAGGGGGACACTAGGGGTGGTGACCACCACCCAGACCAGGCTAACTTCAACGAACAGGGCGCCAACGACGGCGGCTGCTTCTCTTACTCGTTCTACCGTGACCAAGGCACCGGCGCGCCGCGGTGCGACCTCTCCGGGATGGCCTGGACAGCTTCATCCAGGAGGTGCCGCGCGTGTGGTACGATCTCGACAGTGGCAAGCCTTCGCTAATACTACTGTAGGTAGTAGGTTGTAAGTAGGTAAGGGCTGTGTGCGATACATAGGTAGCTCTACTCTCGCAGATCAGAAGGCCTTTCTTTGCTCTGCCCTGACTTGCCTTTTTCAAGGAAACGAGCGCAACAAGTGAAGTAAACCTGTCGTCCTCGTAGTGTAGGGTAGGATCTTCGAAGCGGGCGGCCGTGGTGTGGTGGAGCGTGGGTGAGTGAGTGAGCATGAGTGAGAAAAGCTGGAGGCGGTTATGCGTGGTGTGATGTGTGGTTGATTGATCTTGGGAGTGTGGCAGCATGGGATGGAGTTTCAGGCGTATTATCCATTCGGAGACCCCCCTTTCCCCCCCCCCCCCAAAAAAGGGGGAAAAAAGGGGAAAAAAAAGGGAAAAATGGCAAAAGGAAACCCGCCCACGCGCCCCTGCAAATGAGGTGTTAGCACGACCGTCCAAGTCAGAACATGCTGAAGTCCAATCTACTGCAGATATTTGGTGACAACCATTACACCATCGCGTGGGCCAAACCTGTTTTGAGGAGAGGCTGATGGGTAGTTGGATATATACGTATATACCAAATTTCATCCCACACACACGCGGGTAAACAAAAAAAGAGAGAGAGAGAGACCACTTTCTCTTTCTTCACGCGTCACAGCTGTTCCTTCCCCGCAGATTTACATGGGAGAATGTCAATATTAGTTATATTGATTCTGTTTCTATATGCATTTCAGAGCCCGCGGTATATATTTCTGGCCGATGAATGCTGTTGTTAAGTTCACGCGGGTTCTTGTAAGGGGAAGACGATGTTGCTGAGGAGATCTTTTACGTTATGGATAAGAAGATGGGGTTTGTTTGGTTTAGAAGATGGTCACTTTCACTTGCGGGTGTTTGGATTTATGGGATTGAGGTTGGATTTTGGATTTTTTTGGTATGGCTGGCTGGTAGGCTGGCTGGTATTGCCCACCTCATCCCACCTAACCCTGAAAAAAACAAACACCTGTTGCTGATGATCGGCATTTTCATTCTGCATCTATTGACATTCCAATGATTTTGAGGCTGTCCCCCGATGCAGCTCTGGGAGGAAGTGATCAACCGGGCTTGGTTTGGTTTGGTTTGGTTTGGTATTTTCAAGGGGGACGTTCGCTTCGGTTCGGTTCGTGCTCGCTAAACCGAGCCCCATGTCAACAATAACAAACACTTCAGGATAATCTCAGTCGACGAAGCAGAGAAGCCACCTATCGCATTCTCACCCCGCCACTTATTTCAGCCAGGGGTCTCCTCTTATGCCAGATGATACTTCCCTTCCAATTCCGCTCCCGGATAATCTGATTGAAGTTCGGCAAGGGCTCATCAACCTAGAGGCCCGCAGACGAGCAAAGTTGTCAGTCAGACATTCAACCTTCCTTCTCGACGACCAAGAGCTTCGAGGAAAGAAAAGGGTTACTTTACCGGCTTCCCGATCCCACGATATGCCCAGCCTTGCCAGATCAGAGCCACGGCAAGCTGTAGAGTGACCCACGCGTCGATGGGCGGGCACGAGGCATTCATCTTTGCCATGAGATCGCCATACCTACGTCCTTTCCGCCACCCGTTCTTCATGCGGTCGTGCTGGCGCCATGCAAACTGCATCAAGGGGATGACTTCGCCCAGGTGTACATAGGGGTTCCACAGCGGGGCTGGCGGCAACGTCGCGAAATACATGGTGTACGGCGTATCGAAGATGGGGAGGATCTGGTCTTCGGCAGCATCGAGATAGATGCGACTCGGGTCTTGGAATGGTGAGATACCTGGGAAGGGCGGGTCGATGTAGCCGAAGCGATCTCGATCTGGTGGAGGTTTTGCGTCAATAGAGAGGAATGTGAAGGAAGGATGGTCCATCCGTCCCGTCCGAGATCTCTGCAACTTACAGCACCAGCTCCAGCATTTCTTTTCCTTGGCATAGGTGTGTTCGTCATCCGTGTAGCCGGGATGGATCGTCGTGATAAGATTCTCGTAGAACTCTTCCATGTCTTTCAGAGTGGTTCCGACCAATACATCCCTACGTAGCGAGTCGTTAAGCTTTTTCAGGCGGTCATGGAGCTGGTGGCCGACCGATATGTAACCAGTGGCTGTGACAGGTAATGAGCCCATGGTTTTGGGATGTTGTATTCCTATTATTCGGCGGAGGCTCCGGCCTATGGAGAAGAGGAGAGGGGAGCCCTAGCAACAGCTCTTGCCCTGTGATGAGCTAGCGAGTACGCTAACTACTTCGGGGTAACTATGCAGCCACCGTCCTTACCATACTCTTCCACTCACTGCTAAAGTGAAGACAATAGATTCAATTATGAATATAACGTATTATTGAAGCCAAGACAACAGATTCGAATCCAATCACAAATATTGCCGCCGACGGCAAAACACTGCCAAAGTCCTACTGAATAAGTCTTTACTAGACAGTAGAAACCTCACCCCAACGCTTTGCTTTATCAAAGATATCTGATTCCCGCCGCAAATGGTACCTACCTGTTGACTCTATGTGTTGGAGCCAAGTAGAACGAGACAAAGATTTGTCCCCCTGGTGCTCTCCATTGTATCAAATATTCGAGGTTCTTCGAGACTTCACCCATCCTTCGCTTTCTTTAGGGTTCTTCGCCTACTCTTTTGATTTCTTTGCCTTGCCAACTGTGAACCTCGCCTCATTGGAGAATAGTGGATCTCGTTGCTATCACTTCTTGCCATCAGTCGAATGATGCCGAAGAAATCCAGAGGTACCTCTTCTTATACAAAATAAAATCAGACTCTCACTCAAAGCTGGAGTGAATGCAGCTCGCTCTTAGATATAACACGCTAGCCCCGAGTCAGAAATTTAGAAATTTGTAAGAGCCATTTTAAAGATATGGAAAGGCATCGAGAACAAGCAATATCATGGGAAGGCAGCTAGCTGTAGCTAGGGGATATCAAACTAAATTCATTATCTTGCAACATTTAGTACCGGACTCCTCGCCAATGCCTCATTTTCCCTACCCAATACTACAAGTCCCGCCTCTACCTAGTTAAACTTATCAAGTGCCTCATTCAGTATCTTCACAAACTCGAATACCTCGGCGTAAGTGTTGTACAGCGGTACCGGCGCCACGCGCATGACGTCCGGTTTCCTCTTGTCGGCCACGATTCCTGCTTCGTCCAACATGGCGCTGACAGTGTCTAGCTTGCCCGCATGGAACATGACACTCAACTGGGTACCACGCCATTCAGGATTCGAGGGAGTAATGATGGTGAAGTTTCGCTCGTAGTGTGGGCTAGCGTGGAGAAGGTGCTCGAGGTAGCCGGTGATCATGACGGACTTCTTGCGGATATCGGACATGGAGGTTTGTGCGAAGACGGATAGGGAACCGGAGAGGGAGGCGAGTTCTACGGTGGAGGAAGTGGAGACTTGGTAGCCGGAGGCACCGGGGCTAGGACGGAATTCTGGGATTCGTTAGTATCGACGATTGATTTGATAGAATCGGTCTGGGTGAGGGAAGACTGACCATTCTTCATGTTCATCCGTCCCACCTGGTCACCACCGTACCATCCTGCTAATCTGTGTCTGTACGTCGGTCTCTTCTCTTGCCCATCAGAGTAATCGACCTTCCCGTGTCTCTCATGAACATAGAAACCACCGACGCCCCCGGGTCCAGAGTTCAGATACTTGTACGTGCACCAAACAGCAAAATCCACATTCCAGTCGTGGAGTTGCAACGGTACGTTTCCGACGGCGTGAGCGAGATCCCAACCTACGATCAAGCCCTTGGCTTGCGCATACGCAGTGATAGTCTTGATATCGAAGAACTGTCCTGTGTAGTACTGGATTCCAGGAAGGAGGAGCAGAGCAGTACTCTCTGCGTGCTCATCAATGATCTTCAGAATGCTCCCAGTCGTAACCTCAAACGTTCCATCCTCAGGCCCAATCATAATCATGTTCTCCTTAGGATCAAAGCCGTGCTGCAGGATCTGACTCTCAATCGCGAAGTGGTCACTGGGGAATGCTTTCCAGTCCAGAATGATCTTGCTCTTTCCAGCGGTAGGGAGATAGAAGCTTGCCATCAGCAAATGCAAGTTTATGGTCAGACTGGCCATGATACCAGTCTCGAAAGGAGATGCTCCAACGATGGGAGCGAACTGGCGAGATACATCTTCGGCGAGCAGTTGCCACTGGATCATAGGCGAGCCCTCGAGCGGCACGAAGTGGCCGTGGACACCGATCGTGGCCCAAGTATCGAGATATGCGCTGAGATACTCTCTTGTAGCCTTAGGCTGGAGCCCGAGAGAATTTCCGCAAAAGTAGATGGAAGGATCTTTGGATTCTACCGGAGGATGTTAGCAGCTGAGACACATGTCATGTGATCTAGGAGGGGGAGATGGGGGTGGCGAACCTGGCTTGACGAGTGTTCTCGTCTTGATGTTGGATTTGGAGGGGATAATGAACTTCTCTCGAAAGGAGCGGAGATGGTCTGTGGCATCAAGGGATTGTGCGTATTCGAGAGTGTTTGCCTCGGCCGGGAAAACGTGCTTGGGGGTTTGTTGTTCTGCGAGCATAATGGAACCCATCTTAGCGAGTTGGTCAGGTGTTGATGATCGTGAGAAGATGAAGCTATATATCTTGCATAGTATAGCTAGCTAATGTAAAACGATGCGATGAGTGAGATGGGAAGAACCGGCGGATGAATATATAAATGATCTGATCTGTTCGTGTGTCACTTGCGATGCAGCTCTCGTCATCATGCTGTTAGGAGGTATCCAGTATGATCATTCATCGTATCGGTATTCCCGTGTATCTTAGACGCTTCCGCCTCCGCTTCCGTTTCCGCGTCCGCGTCCGTGTCCGTTTCCGTGTCCACCAACAGTCTCGGGAAACCCTGACCAGAGTTATTCCTGCACGCAACATATGAGAACGATCGGCCTAAGAGGCTGCAAGGAAACGGCATCCGTCCATAACCGTTGACCGATATGGTCGTTTCGCAAGTTCGGCAGCGGTGAGCTTAATATCCGTGTTTACTTACAAGATCCAGATATATATCTGGTTCTTGGAAACTTCGTGTACTACCTACCTCTGATATACGAGTCGAAATTTTCTATCACCATTTTCGCCAGTCTTATTGCTGCATCTTTTTAGTATCATTACAGTTTTTTTATCATGTTGGGCCCATTGAATGTCAACTTGGCGCAATTTGGTGTCTCAGAGAGAAATGGATTCTTACCCGACCAAGCACCCCTCAAGCGATTGAGCAGCCCATACTATGAGAGCTGGGAAACACTACTGTCACAACTCCCAGAGCTCATCAAGACAGGCTCTACAAGAAGCGAAGTGGACCAGTTAGCAGTACTCGCAACATCACATCTCGTCTCAGAAAGCGAATGGCAAAGAGCATACCTGATCTTGTCCTTTTTCACACACTCATACATCTGGGAAGCCGGCGGGCCATCACAGGTACGTAAATCATCCCCCGGGGCCCCGAAGACCATCTCCAGAGCGTTTCTGATCTTGACCAGCGTCTCCCTGCCTCCATTGCAGTACCATTTCTCGACGTGGCATCGCATCTCGGCCTCCCACCGACTGCAACCTATGCCGCCCTCAACCTCTGGAACTTCGAGTCGATATCCGGCGAGAATGACTTCACCAACCTCGACGATCTCCGCTCGCTCCACACCTTCACCGGGACGAGAGACGAAGAATGGTTCTACCTCATCTCTGTTGCCATCGAAGCGTACGGCGCAAAGATCATCCCCGCCGTCATGAAGGCCATGGACGCCGTTCGCGCCAACGAATCTGGCGTTGTTGCGGCAGCACTCGTCAACTTTTCACGTAACATCCGCGAGATTGGAATCATTCTGCAGCGGATGGACGAGCACTGTTCACCGAAGGTCTTTTATGATGACATCCGCCCGTTCTTGGCGGGGAGCAAGAACATGGCCCTGGCCGGTCTCCCGAACGGAGTCTTCTATGAAGAGGGCGCGGGGAAGGGAGAGTGGAGGCAGTACAGCGGTGGGAGCAATGCGCAGAGTTCCCTGATCCAGTTCTTCGACATTGTGCTTGGTGTTGAGCACGTGTCCACGAAGGGTTCGAAAGCGAGGAACAGCTTCCTGCAGGTAAGCCTCCCAGTGCATAGTAACTAGTTGCAAGGGAGCAGTACTGACTAGATACAGGAAATGAGACAGTATATGCCAGGCACGCACCGCAGCTTCCTCCAGAAGATGGAGGAGATAGTCAATATCCGCGAGTACGCCGAAAGCACTTCGATTTCTGAAGTGACGGAGGCGTACAATCTCGCAGTCAAGGAACTTGAGCTGTTCCGAGGCGTGCATATCCAGGTTGTCTCGCGCTTCATCATTATCCCATCGAGACAGGAGAGTCCCAACACGCATCCAGGATTGAACCTTGCGGTTGCTTCGTCGAACACCGTGGACAAGGAATTGCACGGCACTGGCGGAACCCAACTTCTGCCGTTCTTGAAGCAGAGCCGCGATGAGACGAAGGAGGCGGCTTTGCCATTGCTATGAGCGCAGAACTGGATAGCGTGTGGCGAGAACGTTACTTGATGGAATTTGGGATGGGGTTTGGCATATTGAGCATTTTCAGCGGGTAGATAGAATCATAGAATGTGGATATTGTATAATTGCCTGGTGTCTGGGATACTTCCCGCCCCAGATGCAGTAGACGAAAGTAGAGAATCAACAAACACACCACAATGAAAGCAACATACAGTTACAGTTTTGGCTCTATTCGCCTCTACCCTTCTTGCAATCATCCAGGTTCCAAGCTTGCAAAGTCGCAGCAACCACGCTTGCCAGCCCGGCACCCTCTTGCCACTGGACGTCGTGCGGGATGTCAAAAAAATCCTTGAGGACCAAGACCTTGGCCTCCTCGCCCATGCCTTTCAGTGAAGCACCCATGCAATCAATCTGGCCATTATCAACCAGCCCATCGTTGCTCGAGCTGACCAAAACCACAGTCTCTGCTTCGGGCCAAACCTTCACGAGCTCATTTTTCGCAGGCGATGCATAGTCCCACGCCCTCTCATCCTCTCCAAAAGCGCCAACGAGGAACTCCTGATACGCCGGATGGGGGTTGCTGTCTCTCAGCAGCCTGAAGTCATAGATCCCCGCCACGCCAACCACCACCTCTGGATTCTCAAACGGCACCGGAGCAGCGCGAGAAGTTTTCACGCTCTCCCTCAGCTGCAGACTCTGAAAGGCAAGAGTCGCCCCGCAGGAATGGCCGACGACCATATAGCGGCTCCCGAACCTGTACTTGGCCTGGAGGAAAGAGATGGCGGAGATGACGTCCCGGAGATGGTCTGGATGCCTGGCTTCTCTGAGCTCTGTTGTTGGGGTCGACGGGGGCTGTGGGTGGGCTGGATGAGCGGAGAGGCGGTAGGAGAGGGATGCTATGGCGGTGATGTGGGCGTTCATCAATTCTCGGTAAGAGTCGCATGAGTAGAGATGGCGGATCGTCGGGTAGAAGGATTTGTCGGTGATGGTAGGGTCACGCCAGGCTCCGCCATGGATGTAGCTGTTGGTGTTGTCAGGTCTCAGAAACGGATATATATATATATATATATATATATATATATATATAATAGT